GCCTCAGGGAAGGGATGCTGCCCGCCCCAGCGCTGCCCGTCCGCCCCAAGGGTTTGCTACACCGACGGGTTGATGCGAGGAGGTCGATGTCTCTTTGATTGAAATTAAGTTTAAATAATTTCCCGCCAACCCGGGCAAGGTGTGCAGTGGTTTTGTGTTTGTGACCAGTGGGACTTCAACGCTGGGCCAGATAAATTTCTGCAGCAGTGGGGCTTTTTGTCCTGTGCTGGTAGCTCGTCTCAACACAAAAACAAAGCATGTTGCCTTGGGAGGGCAGGTGGACGTCCCTAATAAAGCTGTTGCTCAGCATGGTGATGTCTCGGGCCGCTGGCAGCAAGAGACTGGGCGCTATCGGCACTGCAGCTGTTCCTGAAAAGCAAATGGCCTCAGTGGAAGTGTCAAGAATCAGACCAATTTTATCTGTTCCCAGCTGGCAAAATAGTGTAGACGGTAGTCCTAATGAAACATCTATTAGTGGTGATGCTGGAATTGCCAACACTACAATAGTGAGAAGCTCTTGAAAAAAAGTAGTTTCTAGTATGTTCTTTGATGTGAAAGTGGCTGTGGAAATGAAACATTTTATTACATCTTACACCGTTTCCCATCTCAAGGTGTTTTGCCATCACCAGCGGAAGGGACTAGAACCGGTAACACCAGTCCTTGCTTTGCTTGGTGTTTAGCGTTTTCCTCTTATATGTAGCTATAAGTGTTTCCTAGTTTTCCCATTTCCTAAGTCATGGTTTGGTCACCATCTCTGATACTAGGCTAAAGAATGAAACTAGTAAGAAAGTATGTAGTAAATTTCAGGTAGCAATGTAATCCTTTTTTTAAAGCAACATCAGTGTTTATTAAATATGGACAGAGCCCTGAATATATTCTCATAGTTGGGTGATGACCGTTCAACAGGCCCATGAAAGATCACGTTGGAAGAAGTAAGAGAACTCTGCCTGCCAGAAGTCTGGGTTTTTCACCTTTCTCACAGGTCTCAAGGCTTACTAACCTAAAATCCCAGATTTCACATGGAGTGACCCCTTGCTACATCAGTTGTCTTTTGTCCCATTATTAGGTGTGGCATACCTGTGACTCCTTAAAATTGTGCCAGCCTTGTTAGCTCAAGTTCTGTCCAACCAAAAAACCACTTCTAATTAGGAGAGTTTGGTCATTGTGATAAATAACCTTACATCAAGTATGTTCTGGAAGAGGAGTCTACAAAAGGAGCAGTTATTATTGAGGAGCTTTCTGACAAGCTTCTCTTCCTTCCAGATTAAGTCTTCCACTATGCTGATCTTTAATATTGCATCAATTGAGTGTTGAGACACATGAGGCACTGTACATATGTATTTGATAAAGCAGCCTTGAAACATTATTAGATACCTAGGACATTAAGTACTTTCTTTAAGCAAGAAGTATATTCTGAAAATACTTCTCATTTTTCCCTGTCTACAGCACACATAAAATTTTATGTGTAGCATTTCACATGAGAATTTTTTCTGAGCAGGAGGATTTTATTTAAGGATTGTTTCGAGTATTTTTTTTGTAAGGAAAAAAATTACAGTATTATTTCCAAGCTTAATAACTACTTGTTAATGAAAGCATGCTACAGGAATTTTAACATAACATTAGAATCTAGTAGACTTCTGCATGCATTTCTAAAAGTTTTTCCTGTCCAGGATCTTTCTTCTCTCCTTTTGAGAGAGAAGAGACACGTATTTTTTCAAGATCTTATCTGCAGACAAAAATATTTTGTACCACCTCAGTGCACAGAGGGTGTGGAGGCTATGTGAATTTTAATAGAAATGAGGTTCGTAAGTAGCACAAGTAGCATGATGACTATTTTTGTTATTCAGTGTAAAGTCAAGTAAGCTTTGGACAGTTGCCTGTTTTCTGGGAGGGTTAAGGAGATTTTGATACTCATCACTAATTTTGCCCAATAAAACATATGTTCGTCCAACCTGGATGTGGCTTTGGACTTCCATGTTCAGATATGAGTTGGATCTGTTCCCTGGAATCTCATTCTTAAGCAGATAATATAGAAATAAATGCGCAGTGTAACAAGTATTTTGAATACTGGGTTGTATAAATGGATTTGCTCAATTGTGGATTTGTTTTAAATAAATTTAATGGAATAAAAACCTCTTTGCGTAGAAATTGACTTTTAATGAAGTTCTTTCTCTTTTATTTAAGGCTAACTACTTTTCTAAATTTTCAAATGCTCCAGTAATATGCAAATTAGTTGGAAGAAAAGTTCTTGATGGAGTTGGTCAGCCAACATTAGAAGTGGAAATATACTGTACAGTTAAAAACTATGAGAAGGTATGAGCTGCTTCTTCCTGTTTTATTTATTGTAATAAGACAATATCAGGAAGAGGTACTATTCTACTCACATTGTGAGGAAAAATTATTGTCCATCTTTAATGAAAGGGTATAAGCCCCTGTGGCTCGACAGTTGAGTAAATAGTGTTGTAATTTAGAAAAAAAACTGTCATGAAAAGTTAGACAGTGATAACAACTATAAAAATTATTTTCCATGAATTAGACAATACTTCTCTTTATGAGTGGGATAGGACATTGCATCTTTGTATATTAAATTTTTGACTGTCTTAGTTTAATGATCATGTAGCGTTTCCTTACACTCCATATCTACCCCTGTAAGTTCATTTTCCTTCCACATTTTTCTTTATTTTCAGATCCTTATTTGTATGAGTGTTTCAGAAAAATATAGTACAAGTGAAAACACAGTATAGCTGAAGGCACTTTTATACACTGAGCTAATAGGCTGATGTGAGTGATAGTTACGTCAAACATATCTATCTAGCACCTGCAGTGCAAAATTGATGGTGCATTGCCTCTCCTCTAACCTGAAATATTGTAGACGCTGTCTTTGTAACTCTAGCTGTTGTGAGGTAATTGTTAATACTTTCCCTCAGTTAAACTATGGTTCACTTCATTCTTGAATTAAATATAATTTCATAGATATTCACAGTATGTCGAGTTAATACTATTAATGCAGGCAACTCTGTAGTGTTTGTAAATGATGTCTTAATTAAGTGAATTTTCTTAAAAACCATTTATCCTTCAGTAGTACAGAAAGATGTGTTTAAATTACCTAAGTAAGACAAAGCGTAACTGATCATGAGGGATGGCATGAAGCATGGATGCTGATGAATCATGGTACAACAGGCTACCAACAGCTTCAATGAAAGGTGTCATAATGACTGTATGGTCTGTAACTCCATTCTATGTTGATATCAAAATACATGTATAAAGCAGATATGTCAGGAGATTTTTGCCTAAGTAGTTATAATTTAGGTCAAGAAACTTGAATTACATCTGTGATTACCAAAGTATAAGAGACTAGGAAGAAAGTGCTGGATTAAAGAAGATAAGTGGAGCAAACAGTAGATTTGAAGATAGGTGCTTGTAGAGTTGTAAGGACGTATACTTAGTCTTTCAAATTACGTTTACAAGTTAAAAATTAAATAGTGTTTTAAGCCTTTTTACTTTTTTTTTTTTTTTTTTTTTTTTTTTTGCAGAGGATTTGTTCCACTGTAATCCCTTCTTATTCTCAAATATGTGAAAATGCTTTACCTGAAACAACTGAAGCTGATGAGAAAGAAAGAAATGACTCTGTTAACACTGCTGTGGAATGGGTGAATGAATCGCTGAACACAATGTTAAGAGACTTGAAGCCTACTGACCAGTGTCAAGTTGATAAAATACTTGGGTAGGTCTTGCATATTATGCAAATTATTGCATTTTAAATATACTCCATTAATTCATATTTTAAATGAAAAAAACATACAGAATATTCAATGTTTTCTAGAATTTTGCTGTATTTTTAGGATGTGATGTCTATCTCAGATATATTGCACTATATTACTTCCTGCTTCTTTCGTAATTATGATATGAAAACCATGCTGGTTTTTACAAGGTTTTGTACATGGGATACTGTCCTGGGTTAAGTTGAGACAGAGTTAACTTTCTTCATAATAGCTAGCAAGAGGCTGTGTTTTGGATTTGTGCTCAGAAGAAAGCTGATAAGAAGTGATGTTTATGCCGCTGCCAAGGTCGGCAGACTGGAGAAGCTGGGAGGGAGCACAGCCCCAGTTACTAGCCCAGGATTTGATCTTAGGTTCAGGATTGAGACCCAGAGTGGCCAATAATCTATTCCATAATATACACGTCATGCACAGTATATAGGTGAGGACCCTCTGGAAGATCAGCTCTTTTGGTTCCGGATCTCTTTTGCTCCGGGTCATCTCGCTCCAGGTGGCCGCTCTCCCAAGGCCTTCCCCCACTCCCACCCCGGTCAGCTCTCAGTCTGGGATGCTCAGATTGTTGTCTCTGTTCCGTGAGTGTAGTTTCGGGACTCTCCCTACTCCGGGATCGTTAGCCAGCAACAGGCTGAGCCTTTGGTCATCGGGTAGGGGGCAGTATCACTGTGTATCACTCATTTGTATATTTGTATATAGTATTATTTTCAATATTATTGTAGTTTAGTTATTCAGTTGTCTCAACCCACGAGTCCTTTTCTCCCTTTACCCCTTTAATTCTCTCACCTAACCTCAGTTGGGGGGGGGAATTGCGTGAGCGGGTGTGTGGTTTGGCCCCCAGCCAAGGGCTAAGCCATAAGGATCTCTAAGAAAAAAATGCCTGAACATATTAATGAGTCAAAGGCTCTGTTCAAGAAACTCCTTCAGTGCCAGTTTAATTCAGTGGGGATGTTTTTTCAGACTGCAACTCCACTTCTGTTCATTGCACTGCAGAACAAAAGTGGTCCGAAAGGCATTGAGCTAATCCACAGAAAACATGTATACACATACAGTTTTCAGGTTCTGATGGAGTCTTCTTTCTGAGCAAGGTACTCCAAAAGGTTCCTGCTTGGGGAAATTAGATTTGATGGAAACATCGTTTCTTTAGTAAACATCCATGTTTATTTTTTCATACAAATGTTTCTTCTTGGGAGCATCCCAAAGTAAAAAAAAAAAATAGCCATATTTTTCCCTTCAAAGAAATATGTCTGATTTTTGTAAGAAAAAAAGACGCATGGTAAAAGCATCACAGATGTATATGAATATATCTTGATGGTAACATTAGAGGAGCTACCTGGCAACATTATGGCTTTCTTCACCCTGGAAGCAGAAATATGGCCTGTCATCCTCCTCTGTAGTTGAAAGTGTTTCTTTTGGCTCCCTTACTGAGGGGAATGACACTTTGCCATAGGGTCAGCGGTTGGGCTGCCACACTTGACGCAGGTGGTAGCAAACAGACCTAATTGCCTTCCACGTAGATTAGCTTTGGGGAGACCTTGGTGAAGGGAATAAGGACCTAATTGGAAAGAAATTCTTCCAACTGAAGTGAGTCTAAGTAAGATTTTAATGCATTGTTTACACTACTTTATATATCTTATGTACTCGGTTTGCCTGAATTGGGTGACTGTGACCCATGTATGCAGTTTCTACTGCTTGCAGCCACTTAGATAACCAGTGTACAACTGACCTATTGGATTAGCAACCTAGGCCAAGTTGTGTATGTCATGAAGTTATGACAGGGTCTGTTACTACCCATGCAAAGCAAATACATCCTTCACGCTACGACTGTCTGCACAGAGCTGACTTTCAAACCAGTGTGATTTGAAAAGCGTGTGTTAAGGTTTATAATATTTGCTTGCAGTTCTTTTGTTTAACCAGCGCTGCAGATGACTACCAAAAAATAATGTTGTTTATTGAATTCTCCAGCTTCACACAATGAATCTATGGCCAAGGCTCGAATAGATGTCCTTAGTCCATCTCATAGCATGTTCTTTAGCCTGTATCCTGTGTCTACTTGTCACATGCCTAAGAATATTTTGAGCCACTAATCTTTATTCCTTTTCCCTCAGTGACTATTTCACAAAAAAGGTAGAAGAAAAAAAAGAAATTCAAAAGCAAGTAGAAGAAGAACCAGAAGCCACTTCTGCCCTTATTTCATGTGCTCCGTCAGCAACATCACTACCTGGGAAAAAAAAAGCAGCAAAACAAGGTCTTAGTTAATTTGATATATTTTCTGCAATACAGATATTGATAAAGGTGCTAATATACTTTCTGAAGTATATTCAGAACACTACACAGTGTCTCATGTTTAAAGAGTTTGGTTACTCTATCCTAAATCTTCTTTCTGATCACAGCAGTTTCTACTGCAGAAATGAGAGAGGGGAAAATACAGAGTTTTCTCATCATTCACTTGCATTGGTTGAACAGAATTTCTGCCTTTGTTTTACATTTGGCTTAGACAGGAGGTTATTACTCTTCAGAGTGAGGAATAAGAATGGAGGAGGATGCAAATGAAGAATAAAAATGAAAATTATAAGGAAAGAAAAGGGAATCACAGAACTGAATGGGAAAATGGAAATAGAATTAAGATAGAAGTTGAAAAGAACAGAAAGAGGGAGGAAGGGAAGTTTCTTGCTAACACTGAGAAAAGGAGAAAAAAAGGTGAAAAGCAAAAGAGAAAGAAGAAAGGGGATGAGATGGGAATGATGAGTAGTACAGAATAAAAAGAAGTAAGCAAACAGTGCTACTAAAGGAAGAAAAATTGTGTGAGTGTAGAGAAACAGGGTAAGTAAACATGGCCAAAACCAAACCAAACCAAAACAAAAGGAAAAAAAGCACTATATGTTACCTCCATATATGCATTACCCTCAGAAAAAAAAGGTTGTTATAATTTATTGGAAGGGCAGAAAATTTTGGCAAATTATTATTTCCTTATCAGCTTAGTTTCAACTGTCACATGCTATCAGTAAAACCTCTCAATATGTTAGATGTGTGCACAATAAATTCACCTTTCACTTGAAATACAACATCTGCAGTTGTCAGGTCCATCCAGATATCACCATGTGGTATATTATACTTTTAGTCAAACTTCCGCTGATAATGCATATTACTTGTTTTCACTTATTGTGTTTCCTTTATGTTTGATTGTGACATTGGCTGTAATATCATTGTTAGAATCAATACCTATTAGGAGCCAATGATTATAAGTAACAGATGGTGACTTCCAGTAGCAGGTACTTTCAGACGTAGCATCTACATTATAATTTATGCATGTTACAAAGTAGTGTAGTGGAAAGAATCTCTGTAAAACACTACAGTTTATCAGAGTTGCTCAGTACTTCGTTACTACTCTCTATGTGTGTAGCTCTTCATCATCAGTGTAAGAGCTATAGAGTCTGTGTATAGTATGCAAATGATGTGCCGTCTAATCTGCATATCCAATTAAGGTCCTATTAAGAACATTTTTTTCATAAAATATATGTTGAATTCTGTAGTATTTATATTTTGTTGAAAGCAAAACTTGTACAGCACGCCTACTGGGCACCAAAGTAGTTGGTCAGATTTACATAAAAGTCCCCAATGCTTATGGTTCTTGAGAATCAGATGGTTTATTTCAGTTTCACATACGTGCTTACTGTATGTGTTCATGTAAGCACTGTAGGCAATAAATATGATAGTGGGAACTGCTGGGTTTCAAGCGTTTTGACAAAAGTTACTGTAACTGAAAGGGTGTTAAGTTCTTTTGAAAATTTTAAGAAGATTATGCATGTAGAATATTTAAAAGACCTGTTTTCTCATTGGAAAATCCAACTGTAATGGACCTACATTTTTTTCGCACTCATTATTAGAAGAAATCAAGTATGTGTACTCCCAATCAGCTTATAATGTAATGTCCCAAGTTGTTTATGCAGAAGCTGAGCATACAAGGAGGGCAATAAAGAATACTGAAATCATGCTTATGAAAGAAACATGCAAAATGATATGACATTACTGGATATAAACATAGATAAATAAAAATACAGATTTCAGTAGCTGAAAGAAATGGATTTGAAACATGTTTGACGTCAGAGTGAGGACAGATACTTTGCTTACTTGTAAGGTCATTTTGTACAGAAAAAAATGACAAGATTAAGTTTAAAGAAAAGGAACTGATTCTTTTGTAATACATTGAGTACATACTGAAATGTACATACTTATATAACTGGGATACAGCAGCACACATTGTAAACCAAGAAAATAGTTAGCTACTACTTTCTGTCTTGCAGGGAAGAAGGGGGCAGTTGCAAAGAAAACGATACCACCTGCAGAACCTGTTGAACCCGTGCTTTGTGGCAGCTTAGCCATTGGGGGATCATCACTTGCTGTATCTAAGGCTGGTGCAACTATTACCCGTATCCCGTTGTACTTGCATATTGCACTGCTGAAACATGGTGAGGTACATATGACTTTTGTAATTTTGTTTATTTTATCCCAGTCATCACAATTATTCTGGAATTCTGAAGCCATTAGTCCCTCATGACAATGGTATAAATATACTTCATAGAATACATGCTTAAGGCCACTGCCTGTAGAAGTCTTTGAACCCTGTGCCGTAATTAAATTATATAAGAAAATTCTCTGATTTTTAACATTTTTATGTTCACATGGTGCTCCCAATTACAGGATTCCCCTAAAGAATTTACTCTGCCACTCCCAATGGTTACTGTGTTGAACTGTGAAAAACATTCACCTGCAAAACTGAAATTAATGAAAGAAGTTATGCTTATACCACCAGTTCAGTTATCACTCAAACAGGTACTGGTTCATTTTTGTTTTTATAAATATATTCTATAGACTTAACATATCTACTGTATATGTACATAATTATAAATCCTTTCAATATAGTCCTTATAAACTACATTTCTCATTTTCTGTTTACTTGCAAGGCCAAAGTTTAAAAAATATTTTTGCAGAATTCTAACACAAGGAGCATTAAAAGAAGTAAATAGATGAAGATTTATAAGAAGATAGATGAAGATTTCAAGTTTAAAATGTATGTGCTGGTATAGAAGAAAAAATCAGTGCATTGAAGAAGATGTAGGGGGATTGTGTTACACAACAATAAGTTTTTAGTTTTGTTTAGAATGTGGTTTTAAATTAGTAGATTGGTTGATTGATAGAGCATACAAAACAACAAAACTCATAACAAATTCACAGGAAAGCATAAAATCTTTGGGAATAAATTACTTTAAAAATGAAATTGTGAAGAACAAAAATCTACTCAAGAGGCCAGAAGGATGGATGAGACAGATTGGATCAACCCTCTTTTTGTTTAGCCATGTGTTGCATTAAAGAATGTATCTGCACAAGATGCTTACATTAGAGCTGTAATTGCTACTTTGTATGCTGGTGACCTGAAAATAGCTGAGCTTGATTCTCTTTCTTTTTCCTTTTCCTTTAACTTTTTAGAATTGTCACCCAGAGCTCTTAATAAGTTTGCTAATTTTGTACCTTTCAAAGACATAATGCCTCCTAGTGCTCACGGGAAAGTAGCAAGGAGTTTGCTGCAGTGCAGAAAACATAGCCATTCGTCCTGTGTTGATGTGTTGTCAGCTGTAACTGACTTCTGCCCCCGTCAGTGTTCCTTTACATTTTAAGAAAATTTGAAATGTGATTTACAGAATTAGCATTAAACTTTTACCAACCCAGCTGAAAAGGTAAAAGAATCTTGCTTTAAAAGCAATGGATTAATTTGAGTGTTCCTCCATTCCCCAATGTTTAAAATGAAGACGATTTTTTTCCTGCTTCGTGGAAATGTTCTAAAGGTAAATACATTCAATTTTGTCAGAGTTTCCAGTTAGGAAGTTGTAGATAGAGTGACAATTGTGAACAGTGATTATCATCTTTCCACTTCTCAGATATTACACAGACCCAGACGCTTGTTAGATTTGGGAAGGCTTCCTTTTGGGGAAGAAGAAGCCATTTTTCTTGCCATCCTATTCATCAGTATAATCAAATATTCCTGTTCATTCCTGTGCTACTGACCCTTCGTCATTGGACACTTGACTGCATTGGGGGCGGGGGGGTGGAGAATTGTGTTAAGGAAGTCTATAGTAGTTTTTTTTAAAAAGACTTTGTATCAAAATCTGCATTTAGAATAAGTGTTATCTCCTGATTTAGGCTGCTAAAATTAAATAATTTTTATCTTTCTTTTGAAGATTGCTGTTGTTTAATTTCAGGGCATAGAAAGAGTTCTGGATATTCAGAAAGAAATGATGCGACTTTTGGAGCCTCCAGGCAGAGCGGTACAATAAAAATTTGTAATAGTAATGTGATGTACTTCATTTGGTCTTTCTATTACTATTGTCTTTTTAAGCTTAAATATGGAACATTTAGCCTGTTGTCAGGCTTAGTCTTACGGCACAGAATAGAAGATGTGTTTCACTGACGGATGAATAAAACATTGGCCATTGGGTGATATTAAATTAATGAAGATAGAATAAAGCATTGTTCGAAGCATAGTAAGACTTTCTGTTTACCTGAAGAAGTACCTTGGGAGTGAATGGTATCACAGGGAATATACAATACATGGTTCTGATCTTGCTAAGTCTCACACATAAGCAGCATGTATTATTCCAGGTACTATTACTGTGGTAGTATATCAATCTCAGTGTGTGCATGTGCTTCTTGCAAAGCAAGGCTGTTAGGTTTCTCTAAGTACGGAGTCTAGATTCTCATTTTGGAGATCCCCTCTGTTTTTGTTAGGCTAGGTGAGAATCTTTTCAAAAACAAATGATGGTTGGGGTGATGCTCACACAGAAATAAACATTGGAAATTAGGTACCACCACAAAATAAAACTAGATGGTTGCTGACAGTATTCAAGACAAAACAGAAGCTATTTCCTAACTTAAATATTTGCAATCTCTTTACACCAGAACTCAGTCAACTTTTTTTTTTTTTTTTTTTTTTTTTAGATTTTATTTTATTCTGAAGTCTCTTTGTCATTTTTGGACAGTTCCATGGAATTGATTTTTTCTTCTTTCACTCCTAATAGCCCAGTCTTCAACCAGCAGACAGTAAGAAAGGCAAAGAACATAATACAGGGAAGAAAGCTCTGGTAAGAGAAGAGATTTTAATTTTAAGCCTTTAGGAAGGTATTAACAGCAGGGAACCAAAATGTTCTTAAGAAATTAAACATTAATCTACATTACCATTTTGGAAAGGTCAAGGCAAGACTTTTAAATATTCCAAATATTATTTTACATAATAATTTGGATTCTTCTGACTATACCTTCTCTTCCTGTGGAACAATAGTAGGAAGGGGAAATTCTTCTGGAATCTGGTAATTTTTTGCATATAGAAATCCTGTTAATTGTCTGAATGAGCATTTTGCAGGCCTGTAGCACCAGCGAACATGCCCTTTTCATCATGTAGGCCATAAAACTATTACCTGTCAAACTTGCATATTGTGCTGTTTCCTAATTTGGGGAGCATTACTCCCCCCTTAATCATGCTGCGTTAAGTTCCCAGTTCCTGTTAGAGGCTATAGATAATGGCAAATATGAACCAGGAGCTAAAGGGCAGCACTCACAATAGTGTGCAGGACATTATTTTGTGTGACTCAAATGATCTTTTTTTAATCACCTCAAAACCTGTAGTTTATAGATGAGTTTTCCAAATAGGGGGATGGAAATGCCATGCTGGTTTTGTTCTCCATTCTGAGACTATTAAAATATTATCAGGTGAGAATTGTTGCTGTTGTGGAGTATACAAAAGAGAGGATGATCAGAAGTTTTCCTATTTTTTTGTTGCTTAAACAACACAAAATTAATCATCATTAATCAGCTAGCCAGTGTTTTTGTGGTGGGTAATTTCCATATTTTTATCACAATATGTACTGTAGTCACAAGTTAAAATAATTCCTTAAGTTATGCACAAGGAAGCAATGCATTAGATTATCTGAAAAAGATTTCATGTTATTTCAATAGGAGAAAACTAAAAGAGATAGTGGTGGGACTGAATTTTAAATTGATAAAAGCACCATGTGAGTTTTAACATTTTTTTTGAGGGGGAAGAGGAAAAATTACAAAGTAGGCAGTAAAGAAGCAGAAGAACTTGTTTAGGATATAGGAGTAAAGAATAGACAGAAATAAATTGTTTTGTAAAGATAAAAAATGCTTTTAATAGAATGTAACAAGGCACAGCATATGGGTGCCTTGAAAATCACATGCAAATGCAGACTTAACCTATATCTCATGTTAAATGTGGGAAGACCGGAGTATTTCCTGCTGTCTATAGCTCTAACTCAGTGCTCCAAAAGCAACAAGTCAAATGGATCTTCTGTACTTGCAAATTGCTATGAAATAATTTCATAACAGTTTGACCTCTGTATTCTTCCTAATTTTTTATGTGAAGAACATTCATATATCCTCTGTAGCTAGTCCTCTGTTGTGTCCACTGCTGTTAGGTCTCTTAACTCTTGTCAAAACCAATGCCTTCCAACTGACTTCTCCAGTCTAACCCAGGATTATATCCTGCTGCTTTCTGGGCAATTTAGTGTCATTCTTTGTAATCCAAAATTCACAGACTTTAAAGTTAAAAATCAATATTTGAAAAACCTATGAAAAAACTAACAGGACATGTGGAATATTTCCTCAATGCAACTCTGCTTGTGGCTTGTGTCCAGGAACAAGGCAGACAACTCCATGCAGTTGTGCTAGAAGTATTTCCCATCTATGAAATTTGTTCCTTCTAGAACTCTTGGAAGATTCTAGTGTTTCTTGGACACCCTATAGATACAATATAAAGTCGTAGTGGAGAATAAATGAATAAAAACTTTTTAAAAGTGGAGAATATGTTTTTGTGGCAAAGGGATTGTCAGCAGCACTGGAAACTTTTATTTTGCGTCCATGACAAATCAGTGGTTGTTAAAAGTGCCTTTAAAATCTTTCTGTAAGCCAGTACTGATCATATAAGATTGAGAACTACATAACTAAATATATTTCCAAGGATTACTAGCTCTCTACTCATTAGCACTTGGTTACTTCTCATTCACAGAGAATTGTCCTTAAAGTTGCCAATGCGATTTCTGATTTCTAACAGATTTATATTTTGATGACTGAATGCAGATTGAAATGACAGTGAAAATATTTGTATAAGTATTACATATATACATGTGTGTAAATAAAGTGATTATTTTTGGTTTACTTTCAGCCACGAGCCTTTAAAAGAATATCACACTTAGGTTGCCTAATAACAGGATGTGATAATCTAGAACAACCGCTACTCCTGATGCAAACAGCTTGCAACAATATAGGTCTGGAGCTAGGAACAGACACGTACTTAGCAATAAATTGTGCTGCTCATGAGTTAATGGATTACGTAAGTTATTTTCAATATCTCTTTTGCTGTTTTTTTAAAAAGCAATGTACCTATTTGTTAACATTACTTATTATTACATTGCAAACTCACCTAGAAGCTTCTAACTCAATTTTTCAAGGTAGCAATCAAGCAAACCAAAAGAATTGTCTCTGCATTTATAAATTATGGTTGAGTCAGTCCTACAAGTGTAGCAGATATGTTATTGGATTGTGAGCGCAAGGGGATGAGACATGCAGACATCCTTCTGGTAGCTGGATGCAGTGGGAGCAGTGAGAATGCATGTACTCCTCCTCTGCAGCAGTACCAGCACACTGGTGGTGCATCTTGCGTGGAATAAGGTCCCTGGACCCAGGTAGACCCCCCCAACAGCTTGTGTCCTGCCCGCAGGAATCTCTGTTACTTTCATTGTTTAACTTTAATCATTCAAATGGTGTAAACCTGCCTGCACTATCCATGTTTATTCCTTTTCTCTGTTTATTTATCTAACAAGGTTTTTCAGATCAGTCTGTGCCAAATATAGCAAACTGTTTTAATGGGCAAACACCTACTATGTGCTCTATTTAACAAACTAGCTTCATTTCACATTACATCTCAGACAATTTTGAATTAAAGTGTAAAGCAGCAAATCCTGGTGTTTTTTTTTTTTCATTTCACCACAAGGTATAAATGAAAAAATTGTCTTCTATCCATTCTGCTTTCAAGGATGAAGAACAAGAAATTATTTACACAAGTATACTTCTGTAATTCCTTCACACCACTAGGTGCTTGTTTCTCCATTTTATTACACTACATCTGATTGTTTTCTTCAAACTACCTTGACCTTTCTGTGTATTTTTACTATAGTATGTGTGTATACCCACTAACGTTCATCTCATTGCCTATCAACATTCATTTTTTTAAATTCTTATTTTTCAGAATTTTTATTTCACAAAGTTTATCTCCAGATAAAGTCTTAAAAGTTCTTGCCCCTTGTTCCAAGACCAAACAGGTCTCTCTCTAAGCAGGAAAAGAAACTTCATGTTCTGTTTAATATCTCATGAGATTTTGTGTACTTGGTTGTACTATAGTGATAAAACTTCCATTATTAATCTTTTGTGAAAACAGTTGCTTTCCTGAGAATTTGTGATATCTGCATCCCATACCAGAATGAGCAAAATCTTAACCAATGAATTATCAGTAATTCTGTAACTTTGTTACTGAACTGTTAAAGTCACTAAAGCAGTAGGTATTCTGGAAGAGTTTGGTGATGATAATCCTCGTACGCTGCAGTTTGTGCTTCCCATATTAATGTGACTAGTTTTAGTCTTTTTTTTTTTTAAAGGTGAAAGAGGAAAGGAAAGGCACTATCTTGTTTTCAAGCACTGATTGTGCACTCCTGGTCCTAGCAATATTTTCTTTATAAAAATGAGGACAAAAACTTACCATTTTTTGGAAATGGAAAGTGATATTTTTCATGCAAGATTTAATAAAAACGTCGACTATCACTAACTTTATCATAAAGTTGTGTAAAACTGGCAGTGTTACCTAGAAAATGTTGAAATAGAGCTCCCTTGTTTTGGGAGTGGCATCTGTCAGAGACTTTGGCATGAGCCCACTGGAACTCACTGTTACTTCAGGCAGAATTTTCTATAACAATGTGCCGACCACTTAGACATAAAGTAAAGTAGACAAGTGAATGTGTCCTTATTGAAGAGCACACAATCCACTGCCTTAATAGAGATACTACTGTCACAGGATCTGTATGCTTATGTTAGTACTCTGGTTTTTTTTTAAGTATTACCTTTATCTTTTATGCTTTTTACTTATTTTCTAGGTTAAAGGAGAATATGAAATACTCACTGGAATGTTCAAAAGTCCTGATGAAATGGTTGACATGTATGTGGAACTGATTAATAAATTTCCTTTTATTATTGCATTAATAGATCCCTTAAGAAAAGAGGTAAGATATCACAGTGCAGTCCTTGAAAAATTGGTAATACTGCTCTGTGGCATATCATGGAATTTTTCACATTTTTACAAAACATCCAATTTGAAGCTTCTGGTTTTGGAGTTTTTAGGCACAAAAATATCACTATAAAAATGTACGTAACAATTCATTTACAAATCAGTAATTGACAATAACTCTAAATTTTTCTATACTTTTGACATAATTCCTGACAGAAAATAAACCTATCATGAACAGAATAAGGTCAGCACAAGTATTTTTAGAGAATTACAAGAAAATATTTTATTTCTAATTCTCGTCACTGTCATTTTTGTTACATTTTCCTTCTTATGTAAACAAGTAATTCAAATTATAAAATCTAATTGTAAAATTAATGTGATATATAAGTTATATTATACTATATTATATCTGGGAAGCTAAAAATTTGGACATAGTTGTATGTTCCTTAGAATAACACAAAAAAAATTAATGCTGCTATTCCTTTAGATTGAGAATTATACCCAGACCCAGAACAAACCTGTCACTGGCAGCAGTGCTTGGCAGAATTTTTAAAGTGGTAGTAAGATACCATGTATTTACCACTGTGATCAAAGTTAGAGGAGTTAATTTAGCATGGCCAGTAGTTTGTAATAATAAAGTAGAACACTATTAAGCATGTTATTAAGTTACAGATGGATGAAAGAAACCAGATTAAATATTAAAATTTATACATAAGATTGTTTCCATGTATTACAAAAAAGATAAAAACTTAATTGCAGCAGAACCTACAATTGTAGATCTAGATTCTGCAGTTGCACAACTTAATAAAAATTTACTCTTGCTGTCAAATTGCACACTTTATCTTCTTTAAAATAAATGTATGGGGTGTGTTTTTATGAACAAAACATGAAGACCATGACTGAAGGGGAAAGCTAAGTGATATCTTTGTGAATCTGCCGAGTGCCTGAATCAATAATTCTGAAACAGATTAACTGCAAAATCCATCTGATTTTGTTCTTATGTGGAACTTTAAAATTTCATTTTTTCAAATATCTCTGTTTACCTTGCCTCCCTGCACTGTTTCAATCTGATACTCTGAACTACCCGTGTTCTAAAACACCAGATTACTCCTGCCACGGCTGCAAACTTCCTTGAGAATTCCTATGAAGAAGCATATTTTCAATATGAAAATCTGCAGAATTACCACAGATAACAAAGTACAGTTTGAAACAAGACACAGTTAAAGGACATGCCTCTCCTCCTCCTCCCCCCTCGCAAATCTACCAAGTTTACCCATGCCACATCTTTGCCACAGATAATTAGGTCCTTGAGGATTAGCTCCGGTACCACTTCAACAATTCATTGACAGACAGCAGAACACTTTAGTGCTTAAGTTTAAACATTTTTTCAGTTCTCAAAAACTGCATTTTCAGTTACATGGGGGCTTGAAATCCTCATAGGACTGGACCCTCATATAGATTGCAACTATATACGTACAAAAGTCTGTCTGATCCACAGATCAAGAATTATTACTGGCAGAATTTCTATTAACTAGAAAAGCAATATTTTTAATGTGAGAACTTTGCATTCTGTGGACGCAAAGAAAGCAAATTAATTTGTAAATTTCTTCTTCCAAATTATTTATATATCCCTATCCTTTATTTAGCCTTAACTCTCAGTGCCATGTGGACAATGCATTAAAATCAAGAAACAAAGACCCTAAAAAAAATGGAGCTTTGCTGGAAAGAGAGCATTGTATTCTGCTGTTTCCTATGCATCAGTCTTACAGCTCTGATCATTCTGTCTTGATACATGCCATTGAGTCTATGACTGCCTCCTGCTTCATTATTTTATATTTAAACAAATATTATGACATTTAAAATATAAACACAAGAATGAGTCCTCTGAATAAAACAACAGAATATTATTTTATATTCCATTCAAATTAAATAAATCTCAGGAAGGAAATCAAAATAGCAAACTCCTACAGTTAATTTAATTTTAAATATTTTAGACTATATTTGTGTGCAACAAGCTTTGATTAATTCCAGATTAGAATTTATTTTTTTCTAGCAAAATCTTAAAATCCTAGCAAAATTCCTATGGTATGTTTTTCTTAGGTAGACAGATTTAAAATACTGTATAAAATATAATATGTTTATATGAAGAGTATACTTAAGATTAAATCTAAATTTTTAATTTTCATTTTTACCTCCTCAGCTAGGGTTTTCATTCAGTTTAGTTTTTTAAACTCAATTTGTTTGCTTGATTGTTTATGCAGGACCGACAACAATGGGATAACATGTGCTGTGCCCTTGGTTCCAAATGTTACCTGATTGCTGAAGATGCTGCCACATATATTCCCAAACTTAAAATTGACCAAAACATGAACGTACCAATGTGCAGTGGTGTTGTCCTAAAATATATTAACCAAACCACAGTATCGGACCTCATAGAAGTTACTGGACTTCTAGACAGTGAGTAAAGGGGGGAGAAGGCTGACTTTCAAATCCTACAAGTCAATAAATAGTGATGCTACACCTGTAAATATTACATATTTTTATTTAATTATTGCCACTTCTAATTTAGAAAGCTCTTGTCAGAAGAAACTAAAATTCATGTTTTGATTCACAAATCTCTGTTCAGGAGCTTAAAACAATAATCAAGGCTTCAACTGTAATAAATCTATACACTGTGGATGTTTTGAATGGTGGTGCCCTTTGACACTGCACTGTGCCATACAGTTAGATATCAGAAGTAAACAAAATTTAAAAAGATGTAGTTGAGTAATCTGAATTTAAACTAAAATTGCAGTTTACATAGATTATTGACTACGTATTATTAAGCCTCTGTGGTAACTAAGAACTTGCGTGGTTTCATATGTAGGATTTCTCTTTGTATCAATTTGTCTTAATTTTTATACCCAAGGAATAGATGGACAAATTTAATATATCTAAGTCCCTTTCTTATTCCTTCAAAAGCCCAGAATCACCATTTCAAAGCAAGTAAATAGCAACTTAAAGATTTCATTCAGTCATGATGGTAAACTCCTTTATAGTGAAGAAAAATCATTACTGTAGTAAGGAACACATTTAAAATAAATAGAACAGCCTCCTAGCCTGTGGAATACATTACCAAACAGATCATTTAGAGACAGAAATTAGGACAGGATATTAGATATTCCCTTAACCATGCTGAAAATAAAACGTAATGTTAATGGATCAAACTAATATAGTTTACATGTTTATGAGATGGGGTTCATTGGTTTCACTCCTGTTTGTATTTAACCTTAGATAGCTCAAAGGTGTAAAAAAAAAAAAAAAAAAAAAAGTCTAAACAGTTTCTGTGTCAAATACACAAAATATACACTAATGAAGGTTTTACACCCCCGTTATATATAGGTCAAAGACATATTACCATATTAGGAAGTCCAGATGGAGAATCTTCTGATGATAGCCTTGTGGATCTGGTAAGCATTGAAAGCTGTTCAACTGCAGAATTGCCAAAACACTGCTTTTAACATGAACTATTTTTTTTTGGAGAAAGCCTGTTTCTGCTTGAGAAAGAAACGTTTTACAAAATGGGCTTTTTTAAAGAGAGTTTTTTTTCCCCACAGAGAGTTAATCTTTGAGTTTAAAAAGAACACACAGGAAATTTGCCAAAGCAGGGAGTATATTCAAAAGTGTGTACGATCTATTTAGTTGCATTAGTTTATAAAAAAATGTGAGTTACTTAAAACATTTCTGAGTAGTAATAATATTTTAGGCAAAAATTCTTAACACTAATATATTTAGTCTTTTTGTATTAAAGCTACATTTGCAAATAAAATTTCATTTCATACGCCAGTGAAAATTATTGTTTGCATCCGACAAATCTTTCATTAAGAGATTTTATTTCTATTTAAAGGAGGAGTTTTATCTGTAGAAGGAGTGTTAAATTAGAAGCAGGATACCATGTTTAATAATTAAGAATGATTTCACTTCCCAAACCGTGTAGTTTTAAAATACGCACTTTCTCATTTAAGGCTGTTGGACTGGGTGCCAGGTTTATCAAGTTGGGAGGTCTTTCCCGCGGAGAAAGGGTGACCAAATACAACCGCCTTCTTGCTATAGAGGAAGAACTGGCCAAGAATAGAACGCTACGTATGAGCTTCTTTCTTACTTTGTTTTCAGCTTGCAATGAATACGAGAACAAAGATTGGAGGGAGAATGACTGAAACTGCACCACAGGAGGGAAGCGAAATCAAAAGACTATAAATAAGCGCTGACAAAAAAAACCTAGGATAGCACTTGCCACAATGTATATTGTTGTCCTAATGGATTATCTGTTTACTGAATGTTAAAATAGACCCCTTCGTGAGGAGCAGCCTACATTAAGCTTTTTTCCAGAATTAATTGGTTGCAGTCTTGAAGCTCACAGTGCAAAAGGAACAAAACAAAACCCATGCATATAACATGGCGAAAAGCTGCCAAAATGGAATTTTAGGCCAAAAACCCCTCAAGCCCCTAAACATATATTGCTAACAAAACTTCATTTCACAACCCCCTTTTGTGTGTTGCATTTCCAGTAAAATGTGTTTGGAAAGCTACAATTGCATGGGTAAGCGCTAAATAAAACCCAAGAAAAACCAAAGTTGACTATGCACATTCAGCCTTAGCCACTTGTATGCATCTGCCTGCATTTCAGGATCTGCATCTTCTTTTTACACCATACTCTACACTGTTAAATGCTTAACAGTTCATTAGAACCACTTCTCACTTGCTCAGGTATCAATCAAGACAGAATAAAGGCAGTCTAAATGGGAGGCAGAAAGGAAGGAAAGGGTTTGCAAGAATTTATTGTGCCTAAAATGAAGGAGAATTAAGTCATTTTACCCTGATTTCTAACAATTTTCAATCTTCTATGTGTAGGATAGCAGCACTTGACATGCACACTGTAGAACAGAGTTTTTATTTAAAAAAAATTGAAAAATTTTGAACTCTCCCACTTGCTCATATATAATAATTGTAAAAAAAAATAGAAACATAGACATAAACGATTTTTTTTGCTAAGACAGTAGTTTCACAGAATGCATTTTTCAAAACCAAGACAGATAATTGTAAAGAGTTATGAACTGCCTCAGCCATATTAATATATTCCCTATTCAAATGGTATAGTCTAAACAAAGAGCTCAAGTTTGACAAAGGTTTAAACCTATGTCTCGTAAAATGAAATAGCAACAATTCCTGAAGCTGTTAATCATTTGGCAGAAATAAAATCCAACAACTAAATCAACAGCAGGGAAATACTGAGATAGCATGTCTGAGCTGCATACCAAACTCTTCATTTGGCTGGGCTGCAAGCTATGGAATACACTGGAGAGCTGAGGAGTAGGACTCTGTAAGTGGCTCATAGATGGGAGGTGACACTGACCCATCAGGAGTCCCCCCAGGAGTGACTGAAGGGGGCACGCAGCTAGGCCGAGGAGCACGGTGACAACTGGCGCCCTTGGCTCTCCTGCTGGCTACCAGTCGGTTGGGTTGAGCAGAAGGCTTTCCTTATGTGCAGCTTGTGAACTGCTTGTAAGAGGAATCAAACTGGCCATCCCTTTACTACAATGTAACACATAGAGCTGAAACTTACTCAGTGATGGGGTGGGCACTGTGTATGTGGCAGAACAGGGAATTAGCTGGTGAGGTTAGGGAAGGAGAAGTGTCACAGCATTGGGAAAAGTAGCCATGAGAAGAGAGGTGAAGCTACAGGAGCAACACCTGAACATGGGCTTACACGGAACAGAGAAGAGGCACAGTCAGCTGGTGGGAACTTTTGCAAGAGGACCACTGCAGAAGATTGGTGTTCAAAAAAAGGGCAGCAAGGCAAGGTGGTTAGCAAAGAAGGGAATGCAATAAATATCGCAGCTCGAGCTGCTATGCACCATGCCTTAATCCTGTAATCAAATTGCAGGGCAGTGCTCCTTTGTTTCTAAGGTCCACACTTTTAAAGGTGTTTAGAGACTCTTGTAAGCATCATGTGGCATTTAAAAAAAAGGAATGCACCAGAGAATATTACAGGAAATGTGATTACAGGAAACATGACTCTCTTTTCTCTTCTCTTTCAGGCGAAGCAAATCTTGAGTTTATTGCTTTTCCTGAAGAATCAGAGACAGAAAACCAACTTTCTGATGTACTTGCTCCCCCAAAGCCAGATGCGTTGCCTCCAGAGGTCTCTGAGCCAGCCCTGCAGGTTCACAGCCTGCCTGCTCAGCTCCCAGAGAACAGCACGCTCACCTAGGTTGTCAACATTAGCTTTTGGATAAATTTCTAAAAAAGAAAATATCTAGTAAGAAACTAGAAACTATTTCTTAATCCATTTATTTTCAAGCACTTTAGCTGAACAATTTTTAAAGCACTCAGATACTAGCTTCTCTTTTCCCAGGAGACCATTGCTTTCAGCTGAAACCGAGTTAACTGAGCAGTGTCTCGTTTGAAAATACCACAAAATTCTGTGCTGTATTTACAAATTGACAAAACAAATACCTCTGTGTTAAGTCTAAAACTAAATGTTTGTTTTGAGAAAGTCGAAATCTCTCTCCATACAAAGAGCAAGCTATTGACAAACAGTAGAAAAAAAAAACGCAACATTTTACAAAAAACAAAGGCCTTGACTGTTATGCTGTTCCATCCCCCCACACACCCTCAATGCTGCTCTTAGATCTGGCCTACAAGGGAAATTTTGCTCCAGTTCTAGCTCGCTATCAATACAAGTGCATGAGTGCAAACCCCAAATGTAGGGCACAAAGCTGTAATTGGCATCACTAGGAAGCTTGCTGCAGTCGGAGGCAGGGAATAACAAGTCAATTTCACAAGGTCTGGGAAACTTGTCAGGAGTCTTTTTAATAAGCAACAGTGAAAAGATAAATAATTTGTCCTAGGTAACAAACAGTTTTAAGTAAAAGAAATACTTTAAAAACTTCTGGGTTTTGTATCATTTGAAAATTTAAACATATAATACAGTAGCAATAATTTGAGGAAAAATACATATATAAAATGTTGCATTTTTAAACTCAGTGTAACAGATAATGAAATGAAAAATTAACCACCAGGACCAACCGCCCCCCAGAAGTAAATATATCAATGAGAGACAAATTTCCCGAAGTTTAGGAATTATGTGTAGTTCAGTAATTAGATCAAGTCCAAGATTTTCTTAGCAAACATGCAAAAAACACCAAAAGAGATGTGAAACTACCACACTCGTTACTATCATTTTATTTTTAGGAAAAGCACCAGACAGTTGCATGCAGAGCCAAACCAACAAACTCAGAACATTCATCCTTCAATACTATCACTGTTTCAAATCATTAAAAAAAAAAAAAACAATCCAAGTGCATTCAAGTACTTGACCACCCAATTTCAGTAACGCCGATCTTTAGGCAAATCCCTGATTACATTTGTTCGTTCATTAGAAAAGAATGAGATACTGTGCTGAATTTAAAAAGAGACTACAATGGAATGTGAATTCGCAGTGGAGCAAATCAATTATGTACCTATCTCACTGTCTTCACAGGAAATAAGGGTTGAGGGAAGCTGAGATTTGTGTCATCAAATACAGCCATCTAAAGTGTTCTCTAATAAAGAAATTAATCCCACCAGTGCGTACCAGGTTCAAAGTAAGGGTTTACCTGTTAGTGCTGCGAGGTTTCAGCTGGGAATGCTCAAAATGTTGATTCCAAATAGCTTGCAATCCTAGAATGACTGAAACCCAAATGCACTCTGTACTCACAGGAGCCTGGGATTACTTATTTTTTGCAGCAGCAAGTACAAACTGCAGTTGCAGCAGTTCCAAACTTTGCTGTGTAACATCAAAACAAAAAACAGGAGATAAATCCTCCTTCGAAAAGCTTTCAATCCAAATGAGACCATTAATCTCAACCCACAAACTTCTGACTTTGGCTACCATTACCAGAAGTCTTGGTACCAAAATGACATGCTGCACTGCCTCTGCTTTTTGGTCTTTGGGCTAGCTGTCCACTGGGAAATCTGAAACAGAAGTGTTCTGCTTGTGCTTTTCATTTCCTCAAAAAAGCATGTGCGGAGACAGAAGTAAGAAAACCCACAAGATCTTGGTTCAAGTAGATAATCAAAATATTTTTAAAGCAATGTGTCTAAAACATGATTTTTAAATTACTAGTAATATCCCCCCTACTAAAGCTGATGTGTGCATAATCACCTTCACAGGGCCTGACCCAAACCTGCCCAATTCAAGAGGGATGCAAGGGGCCTCTGGCAAGCTTTAGAATGGACCTTTAACAAGATATCTTCTCAACAAAAGAGTAATTGAAAAAGCCTTTTCAAATACAGTTTTAAAGAAGAGGTAACTGACAATATCTAAGAAAATATTAACCATACCTGCGAAATTAAAGTGGGAAAAGGATTTTAAGTGATACATAGTTATTTAACACTTCAATGCATGTAACAGAACTGCATACAAAAGAACATTTCCATCTATATTATTGAAGATGGTTTGGAGGACAGACCATAGCCCCTAGTAACACACATAAGCAATTTACATCTCCAGATAATGATCCCCAAAAGTTACAGCCTTTCAGAATAACAGTTAACAGTTAGAACTGTCTATTTCTTTTATTTTCTCAGCATTCGTTTCTTTATGCAGTGGCTTGCTTTTTTCTTCTTTCACTTTGTTCTGATTCAGCGTGTTTTCTGACATCTGGTCCCTGCTGGTGGAAACAGGATCTAAAACTACAATGGATTCTGTCTCTTTTTCACTGCTAGAAGTTTTTCTTGTAAATTCTATATGACTAGTTGATCTAAAGGAAAAAGAACAAATACATGAATACACATAACAGTTCATATATTTAGGAGAAAGAATATAAATATACAGAAAAGCTTTTCTGTTATTAGTAGCACGTATGACCAGGACAGATCTACTAAACTAGTAAATAGATTTATAGATTTAACAGCTGTTACATACACATAGCAGTGCACAAAATGCAACAGTCACATTACTCCTGAATAATTTGTCAAGCTAGCCATGGAAGATATTTAACAGGAAAAACAAGCTTATAAAGCACTGAAAAAAATTCGTAAGACTATGAAAGAATCAGGTTTGAAGTCTTAATAATTTATTTTCTCTCTGCTCATCTCGGAGTTGGATTTAGGTTCCCCCATGCCCAACAGCGCACATGCACCCAGAGGAAATACTACCAACTCCTGTAGTCTGTAGGCTGACAGTCCTGCAGCCTGGAAGGAGAACACGGCTGCTTCTCCATCCCTGCATCCCACAGCAGCTTGCACAGAGCTTTCACTCCACTGTACGACAGGGAGGTAGAGACACTGCAACCAGATTTTTCACTGCGGCTCAGCACCAACAGGCTGCTAGTGGTCTCACTGGGAACAAGTGCAAACGATTTCTGAAAATTCACCTACTGGATGTGCTGAAATACAGAGGGCGTTAGACCTACATTCTGTACTGCAGAAATGGGGTTACGTCTTGATTGCTTGCAGTGCAGGGATTCTTGCAGATAAAAAGCCCTCCGAGTGGGGAGAGAGGAAGGAAAGGTCAGAGACACCAGGGTTATTTGTCGAGGCTGGCATCATGCTATAAACACTAAAAGCACTTGTCTATATTCAAAAGCTTTGTACTAGCGTTGAAAACGTGCAGGCAAATCCTTAGATTAGCTAGAATGCGCCAGCAGAGAACAAGGCAAACGCTGGGAAAGCACGACCTGAACAAGTCGCGGATCAGGACGTTTCCTCTGCCATCTGAATGGTGCCGTGTGGGCAGACAGGCAGCTCACCGGCATGGGCTTACACCTCCTCCACCGCGCCTTCCCAGAGCCTGTTGGCCCCGTGTCCCTGGTGTACGCAACCCGGCACACTTGGAGAGGGCAGGCAGACATGTGCACATGGCCCATCTGTAGGCAGGGCCTTACACAATGGTGTAAAAAACATACAGTCATCTACACCAATACAGCTACAGCCACCAAACTGGACAGGGGCAAAGCACCTCAGTGCAGGAAGGCCCTACACACACGAGTGGGCATGTGGCTCCGCTCTCCCAGTAAGCCTAACTGTAGAGCTGCTGAATGCAACTGAATTTGCTAGCCCAGAGCCTTTTATTTTTCTTTTAATTTTTCATGCTTACTCAAAAGACATGGCCTTCCATACTGCTAAGATAACACCCCTGAGAGGAAAAAAGTAGAATCAACTGGAGGCCAGAGGAAGAAATTCAGCTACTGGATCCATCTGCTATGAACTGCCCTTTATTTTGACAGTCTTTGTCCTGGAGAAAATGACAAAGGAAAAAAAGAGGTCACCCCATTCAACAATTAGAGCATGGGGCGGAGAATGTACTGGCTCCCACCTGATGGGGAGCGAGTAAATGTACAGGTTAAAAACAAAAAAATAATCACAGAAACAACATTTATTGCGCTTTCCATTTCAGAAAGAATTTACTCAGCTTGCTATTGAAGCACTCGATACAGCGAATCAAATTCCATGCTCAAGCTTTAATTACAAGAATTGTCTCTAACATTAGAACTTCAGTATAAGTTAATTAATGCAGAAATTGGCACTAATAGATACAGTTTCAGACTCATTTGATTATCATCAGAAGCTAGTGATTTCATAAGGAAAATAATGCTTATTTTATGCAAAAGTTGCCAATCATTCCAGAAAATACAAGGTGGGGTATTTTGAATGTTAGAGCAAATTAAACTTTTTAAAGCAGCGTAACCAGAAGAAGGTTATTTTAAAATGTGCTACCTCTGAAAAGATGATTGCCCAACACTACAAAAATGGTCAAAGCCATAAATGCCAAGTTCATTTTTATTTCACTTTGGAGGTAACTATCTTTCAAATCCCAACAGCTGGATTATTTAATACAATCTGGTGAATCAAAGTATAATTCTTCACTGGGCTCACAGTGGGGAGTCTGCATTAGTGTATGGCAGCATTCCAACAACTGATGCACAGCCAAACGCTCTGAAGTCTGTTTCATTTATAACAAAAATGGATAAACTGGCAATCATATTTACCACCTTCAAAGGACAGAAAAATGAAAGATGTCGATATAAAGTAGTTTGATGGAGAAAACCAGTGATTAAATCAGCATTTCAAGCATAAAAATAAGAATTACTATTCAGACTTGGTTCTACAAGCATTCCCTTCTTCAAATCCTTTACACTGTTGCAGCACCAGCCTGACAGTGCTGCTGTTACAGCTGAGGCACTGTTAAAAATTATTAACCCTGTTTATCAGGTATTCACAGCTCATTTTCAATAGTTTGTCAAGAGGAGAATGCAGGCATAATAAAGTTTCAGCGAAAGAATGAACATAATTTTGGTGCTCCCTTTCGAGAAACAGGTTTTGCTGCTACAAGTAAAGCTGGGAAAAGCAATTAGTAGATATAGTTAGAACAATAACAATTTTGTCCAGCCAAGGTATTTGCATTTAGCTCTGTGCAAAGCTCTTCCTTCATTAAGATTGTTAATGCCGTTATCAGTATTCTTGTTATTTGTCCAACTACATATTGAAGCCAGAAATTGAGAACCTAGTTCTATTATACTAATTTATACATAATTGTCCGTAAGTCTGCATATATTTTTATTACTAAACACATAAAATCTGTACTGTGAAGTCCAGATTTAGATGATGAACACATTAATTGTACGGGATATGCAAAGTCCCATGCAGTACTGAGGACTGCTTGTGATATAAGAGTCTCAAAAGCAATCTATTCCATTTATATAGTTACAGAAGGTACAGAAGGTGTAAAAATAAAGGGTTATGCCTGACGGGCCATCTGTGAACTAGTACTGCTGTGCCCTTTGTAAATAATTTACAGTAGGAGTACAAAAGGACAAACTAAGGATCGTATCGTCAACTGAGACTTGGATTTTCTTTGTTCCCTCTGGTTAATGTTATAACCTCAGTATTATTTAACCTTGCTCGGTGCTCTCTTCATGAAATCATTGCAATATGTTTCCATTAGAAACCCGAATTTTATGTAAATATAGTAGAAAATTTTATTGGATGAAGTCCCATCCAATTTCCTAACAATATGTAAAAGCAGAAGGCTAAAGGAAACCATTCAAGGAAAACACTGTAGGAAAATCCATAGTTTTTACAGCATATTCAGAAAGTACTGGCAAAAATCTATTCCAGCAAAGACTGGTTCTGCAAGTCCACGGTATAAATATGGGAGACTGCATGTGGATACTCTGCCTGGACTATGAGCTGGTGTGAGTGAAGTCATTTCTGCTACAAGAGCCGACACAGCATCAAATCAGTGTGCTTTGGCTTTCAGTGAACTCCCTGATCTAGGACACTGAAATAGCTGTCAGCTCTCTTCAAAGCAAAACTGCTTTCAAAACCAAAATAAAACCCAACCAGTGCTACTCCTTACTCCCCAAAAAATGAGATTTGAAGCACTAAGCTAATCTGACAATTGCTCACCACCAGTTGCTTCTGTCTAGTGCTTAAAAGCCACGCCTGCATGACAATTACAGCTTGCGATTTGCCCAACCACTGCCCACCCTGACCCCACCGTTCACATTTTTCTACAAGATCCCCACAACTGAAGACAAACATCACTCGTGTGATAAAGCTCACACAAATGAGCTATGCAGGGCTACACAATGGTAGAAAAACTCATCCCACCATGCTGTAACCTGGCGCAGTACCAGAGCCAGTACTGCAGAGTCCAATCCCTACATCCCTTCCAAACTACCACACCAGGAAGGTTTGCTGAATTACAGCAGCTCCGCTGTCCTGCCTCTGACCCAAACTGACCAGCCCGTGGTGTTATCCTGCACAGCAGAATGGGTCTGAGCACAGCAGAGCACCACTGCGCTCTGCCCGTTGCCTGCCAGGTCAAAAGAGGTGAGTCGATTTTATCCTCGGTCAAAAACTTTTATTGAGAATAAAAGCAAAACTGCAGATGTGTTTGTTAAATATTTCAGAATTCTCAGCAGGGCAGTGGAATACAAAAGACAGGACCAAAGGCTAATACCAAACAATAGTAAAAAAATACACCAATTCCAAGTCTTGAAAGTCTTCAATGAACAAAAAATTCCATCACACTACAGCATTTCAAAAGGAAATGACAGGGAATACAGTGACACAAGTGAATTAGTCTGTTGGTTTCTTCTCTGGTAATACCAGTACTATTTGTAACATCTGCGAAGAACGTGCAAGAAAGCTTCTCCATCTCAGAAATGCCTCTGCCCGATTTAGCAGAACAGAAAGGAGGTCAACATGGCAGTGAGCAGAAGGGAACTGCAGACAACCTTTAGTACACTGGATCAAACCATGGGCAATTGTTCCCATATTTAGGTGCTTTTTTGAAAATGCTCAAAAAGATTGGCAAGTTAATTTAAATGAAGAATCTGGGAGAGCTTCTACCTGCATTGAGGTGCACAAAAAGTAGTCTAAGAAAAATGTGTGACAGTAGCTTTTAAAACACTTAAAATTGAGGAGACCTCAAACTTTCAGAACATCCCATTGTTTTCTTCATTTGTTGTTCAGACTAAATTGCCCACATTCAAGCTGCACTGGAAAACCTTTGCAGTTCTGTCTAGCTGAGGCTGAGCTGCTTCCCGCAGAGCTGGTAGGTGATTCAGGGGTACTAAGATTACAGCCAGGAGAAGGAGGACAAATCCTTTAATTGTACAAAATCATCAGATTAAGACTAACCCTCTCTGTGGTTCACTCTGTTAGTGGAGAATTCTGCTGCCCAGAAACAAAATGTTTCAAAAGTGGTGGAAAAAAAAAATCCCCCAAAACCAAGGGGCAGAGCCAGACACACCTTTCCCTTCTGTGTCTGCACACCACAGGGAGTCACGGGAACTCTCTTGCTCCCAAGGGAACTAAATTATCACCTATTCTCTTCTAAGCAATTGTCACAGAATTACAGTCATGCTGGGTTAAATATTTGGGAAGTGATTTGCAGAGGAAGTTACCTGAATACTGAGGTAAGGCCTCAATTTTCTATAGGACACACGTTATTGATGTCTTTCCCCTCGGCACCACCTCAGCAAAACTTTACACATCCCAAATCACCCACTTAATGGCTTCAGACCCGTCTCCTAACAATCTCCTGTGCTGAAATAGCACCTCACCTAGTAGTTCGAAGCCCATGTTTTTCTTCTGAATTAACTTCTATGAACTGTCATCCCTTAGATCGATTACAAGAAAATTTCAGAATCAGCCTGTATTTGTCGATGTTACAGCCCTTCTCCACAATCCCTCCTTTGGCAGCTCACACGAGTGGCCCAGATGATACAGCTTTGGTAACACTTAACCACAGGAGTAACCATAGTACAAGTCCTGCTTCAACCAAAGACTGCAACTCCTTACCCCGTTAGGATTGAGGTTAGATTGTCACTGGCTTGGGGGCTGGACAATCTAGGATTTTACTTAATGAGCTGACTCCTGTCTACGCATTGTTCACAGATGCATTTTCAAGACTGGGTCTTTTTCAAAGGCCTGACCTTCTTTCTCCGTGAGAACAGGCATGCTCAACTGTTACTCAACCTGAATAAAGAACGATGAATAGGGCTGTTCGCATTTAAACATCTCTAAGTATCACTTCCTCCTTCAGATTACAAGCCTTAGTAAATGGATAGTGTGGCAAAGAGAAATCTCTCATGCACAGCTATCCCTAAGGTTTTCTATAGGAAGCTGTACATTAAAATCTAGGTGAAGATAAAAGAATAAACACTGCACTGCAAGAGACACCTGGTAATTATGAGACGTGATCCTCTGCTGGGGTATAAAAGCTTTGTTTGGCTGCTGCAAACAGCTGAAGCAGGTCACACCTTTGTCAGATTTCAAGGAATTGCAAACGATGAGACAGCTGCATCCTTTTACCTCAGGTGTGAATAAGGAGAAGAGACACAAGAAATCTTTTGTATGGCTTTGCTATTTCGGGTAGCTGGTCACAGCAGCATCCTGTTTGTTTAGTTAGCACGGTCTACTTTAGGAAACAGCATGGTGCAACAGGAGCAGACCTGCAGAGGGGAATGGCCTGTGCTGCAGACCGATGTCCTCATGACACAGGTTTCTGGGGGTTACTCACTGAACTAGCCCATTAAAGGCTGGACCACGTCTTCTGGTTTAGTTTCACTCATCCAGTGAATCCAGGGATCCAGCTTATGCACTGAGACCGCTCCAGGATACAAATCAAAGCACAGCAAATGGGGACAACAGGGACATTTGCTTCAGAAGTGTTCTCCTGACCCAAACTAAGGTGTTAGTACAGATTTACTCAGGGAAGCTCAGAAAACTGCCTAATTATAGAGCCAACTTGTCAGGCATGTTAGACAGATGAACTTCCTTCTGATGTCTGCTTCAGAGGAGCCCTGTGTCAAAAAACAGCGCTTACACACCTCGGAGTCTGGAGGCTGCTTCTACTAACCTTTCTTGCAAACAGTACCCAGGAGAAAAAAGAAAAGCAATTGCACTTCAGCACGGTATGAAGCATCTTAGAGGTTATTTCTACTCCTCCCTGCCAGGCCAGAGGCAGAAGACTATGAGAGCCCCAGCACCTTCTCTCACTGGAAAACCATCCTCAACGATGAGCCTTTCCAATTCAGCAGGTTTACACCAGCGACTCGGTGCAAAGAAGCCCTGCAGCACTATGGAATCTGGCCCAGCACATTTGTTTTAATGCTTTAAACAGATAAATTGAAGTGAAATGTGTCTTTTAGGATGTCACTGAATAGGCAAGCTGAGAAATAAATTGAGCTTCACATATGCTTTTATAATACATAACAACTGTGACTGTCAACACAAGATCCTTTTCACTGTCAATTCACCACACATTCTGCAAGACCTTGGGGCCTGCAATTATTTCATTTCCTTTCTTGTAAATGCAATTTCCACTTAGTTTGGTGGAATAAAAGGTAGACAAAAGGTGGTAGGAGCTGCTGTATTTTCCGATTAAGGTTATCTGTTCAAAATTGCAGAAATCCACAAACTACAAACACAGTATTTTTCAGGAACAGCCTCACCTTTCTGTCAGGGCAGCAGTTCAAGAAAACGCAATGGCACGACTCATGTCAAATTAACTGTTGAACAAATCTTCATCTTTCTGATTAAATTAAAATGAAGATCATTCTTCTAAGGATACTTGGATTAAATAAAAGGGGAAAATACATATCATTGGAAAAGGCATTCTGCTTTTAAAACTCAGTGCGAATTAAATAGAACTGTAGGGCACAAAAGGAAATTGGGCTCTTCATCCATTCAAAAATAAATTATAAAGGTACCTGCAGGAGAGTGAAGTAAATATCAATTCATAAAAATAGATGCGAACTGAGTTTCCAGCTGAATTGTCATGACCTACTCCTTTGAACTAAGCAATGGAGAATTGCTAGAATTGATACTGGTGGTATTTTTTGACTGATAGAACAGGAAATCAGAGGTTTAATTAGCCATGATTACAATATTCTGCTGATCTGATTTGTCTCATCTATTTCCTTCTCCTGAAGTGACAAACTGACAAACAACCTGGCAAGGGAACTGAAGCAAGTGCACAGCCTAATTTCAAAAGGAGGTTGGTATTGTTGTAAAACAAACCAATCCTCCAGGGATCTGTCTGAAATAAACAAGTCTGAAGCAGGTTTAACTCTTTGATGCTGAACTGGCACCTTGGGTCTTCAGTCTGTTGAGATGAAAGATTCCTCTGCCCCTCTGTGCCACTGCAGCACTAACTGGGGTTTCGGGGTGGGGTTTTTTGAACAATCTTAATATTGAGATTTCAAGGTAATTCTGAGTTTTCACCCACAAACATTTAAGAGTAACAGGTTTGTCCAACTGAAACTGCTCTGCACACCTGCATACAAACTAATATGACTTATATAATTATGTTTTTGAAAAAAATTGCTAGAACTACCTTTTTTATAAATCAAGAGTTAAGTATATAACTATCTTCCCTCTTCAGATATGGAAAAACACTCAACCTTGCTATTCCTTGAAAACTCTTGGAGTTCCTTCTTTTTTCGGCAGAGAAGATTAACTTATTTTTTGAAGAATGTTCAGAAATTCTACAAGAAAGGAGCTTTATTGCAGAGAATTCAATTTCTATGCTCATGTGAGACTGGAAATTATTTGAGGAATCAGTGGTAAACGGCTGTAAACTGTACCTTTATCCTGGTAACCAAAACTGATGTTAAATCACTTTCAAAATGCACCAACTAAACAGAGCTGGTACTAAAATATATCTAGAAATCCACATTCTACTTACTGTAAGGTAGTCTTGGAGCCTGTGACAGAGACAGGATCTGAGTCGGGTAATTTGGAACTGAATTCTGCCTCCAGGTCTTTCTTATTCAAGGCTGGTTGTGCAGCACTGGCTCCCGAACCTAGCACAGGCAGAGATTTTGATTCTGATGTGGCCAAGATTCCAGTGGGACCTAAAACCCAAAGAAAGTTTAATGCTTCTGCTATCCCGATTGACTGGTCTAGAAACAACACAGCAGAATTCAAGCTAACTACAGAAATAAAAATGGAATTTTAAAGAACACCATCCAGTGCACTTAGAGTAACAAAATACCTTCTGTGCAGCCTTTTCTCTCCTCACCAAAATTAACCCTTTCTTGTACCACAAGCAGGGCTCGCTATATGGACAGTCACACACTCAATGTCCTTGTCTTCTGGGCTGGTAAATCCCACTGCCCACACAGCACTGCCAAGGCACAACTTGCCAGCGCTCTCCCAGCCTGAAGTGCAGATGGAGTGACTTGCCAGCTGAACAACAAAAAAGCTGGCTCTCATGCTAACGAGCAGTCAGGGAACTGTCTAGCTACAAAGTCCAGGCTAAATTAAAACCAGCCACATCCGCATCATCCGTGGCATGGACTCACACTTGCACAGACTGTGTTTCTAACCAGGCAGAACATCAATGCTTTCTTACAGAAGACGACAGTAAAGCACAGCTTAAAAACTGCAGCCCCTTGCCCTGCAGAGGAGGTTCATTCAGAACATTAGTCCTAAACTGTCATTTCTCTGGTTAATGTTACTTTCAAGAGTATTTTCACAGTAGGCTCAGACCATTAACCCCAGTAAAAATGTCCAAGCTCCAGGCAGGACAGAGGAACCTGTGCATATACGGCTGTGCACGCAGAAAATCCTGACAGAGGCATCTCTTGGAGAAAATGGGGGTGAAAAGCGACAGGTGTGGTGGGGAAGTGAGTCACTGTAGGAGTACGCAGAGTTCTCTGTAATGGCTGAAATGGCAATGGTCTGCAAAAGAAAGTAAAGCTTCAAGAGTCACTTAATGCAGGGAGAGGAAGAGGACTATGAAGGAATCCAGCCACTTACTGCCACTGTCCTGATCAGTGGTCACTTTCCGGCGGCGCAGAACTCGTTCCAGCTCTGTTTCACTGCTGTCTGTTTCAAGGGACTTTAAGCTTCGGGAACTAGTGGATTTGTTCAATGTTTCCTACAGCAAGAAACAGTCATGAAAAGCTCTCTGAGGATGTATTGTGCCTTGCCAAACATCCCATATGCACAATGTGAGAACCTTTTAAACGGCAGAAAAGCAACTGCAGTTCTAGACCAGTGTGCAAAGCTCTTTCTTCAGTACAAGAGCGAGCAACTGGGGCTTGGCTCACCGCTCCTCCTCTTTCATGGATTTCCCGATGTAGGCATTAACCATACTTGCTTACACCTTAGAGGGCTGATCTCCATCTTAACATTAAAAGGATCTTAAACAGCTAGAGTGATACAATTACTGCAATACACGGTTATAAAGATCTGAATTTTAATGCTCCAGCATGCTTTATATCTTAGCATGGTCCTGTGTTGCTGCACCCTATTGTGGACACATAACAGTATGTACTAGCTGCAACTGCAGCATGTTGCCATATCCTATAATCTAGCTGATTGCCATAAACCTGACCCTATGTCTGCATACTGTTTATTCAGCCTTCCAAAACATGTCAGGCTCATACAGCATTTTTCCAGAGCATAAATAATATATTGTAACATCTTCTGTTGACAAGCACATAACTTACGATCAGCAAATAACAAAAGGAAATGGCATTGCAAGTTGCAAAAGCTGTGCTACTTTCAGGATCCCAGCAAAGTAACTCTACTTCTTCACACCCAAAAGTGAAAATACTTTATTTGGCAACTATTTGAAATTTAACTGAGCAGGTACATTATTAATGAGTACTACGCTCCAGATCTGTACAAACCTACATGCACGAAAGCAACTAGAGCAATGGAGTGACTCAAACTCTGCAATTTACAGAACATAAATGTGTTTTGTGTGTAACAATTATGTGGAGGTCTACATGAAATGCATAATTAGCATAGTAACAACAAATGTTTACTCCATCACATCCCACCCCCGTGTTTGTTGTCTGACTGTGCATAATGACTGGTCTCAAGAATAGACTGGAATTGGACTTTATGTAGTTTGTCTTAGACTGCAAATATCCTGATGGGCTCAAAAGCAACAAGTGAGATACAGAAGTACAGTGACTGCAGGTTTCCTTCTGCTCTGTCTGAAGTACATAATCAAGTCTCCCCTGATGTCAGTGATACAGTGTCAAAGAAATAAAACAGCTATTAAAAAACTAAAGGACCTTCGGCAGGATTGTTGAGCCCAACCCTCACTGGTCCAAACAGCACATCACATCAAACTATTTGTATATCTACAGAGTTCCATTTAAAACATAATCTCCATGTTGCATTTTATTCCTTTCCTATTTACCTCCACATTTAATGGTGTGTCCCTCTAAACGGAGTTCAACATTATGGTCTGGGGACTCTCTAGATCATTTCTTTCCTTCTTCCCCTGCCTTCATGTGACTGGAGAACACATTTTTATTTAGTGATAAATGGGTATGTGGATAGCTATTCAGAATCAATTTTTCTACATATAAACGTAGACAGATTAGAGACCTCTTGCTGTGTTTAGGGTATGTCTATGCTAACAAGAAATTTGGTGCCTCAGGAGACAGCAGGAGTCAGAGCAGCTGATGATGAGAACCCCACATCTACTACATGTGCAGTTCAGGAGCTTTACTTTGGACTAGATTTATTCAGCTGCCTCCCCCTCCCTAAGCACCCCCACTGTGAGTACTTGGAAAGTCTCCAAAGGCTCTATGGCAGGTGCAGACCATGAAGTCCCCTCTAGCGGCAGGAACATACAAATCCACAGCAGAGTTAACAGGCCAGTTTTCTCCAAAATCAGTTCTGTTAGCAAGACCAAAACCAATCTTTCAGTTGGACCAAAGTCAAAAGTGGAATTGGGGGATTTACTCCAAAACTGCTCTACAGCTTCCAACCAAAACACTAATGCAGGACTTTCAAATACTCGGCTATTTTGCACAGAAGGCCCTGTCAGCTCCATGAAAACTGAAATACAAACTACAAGTTTTCTTACCAGAATCCCTTTTAATTCTTTCATTGCACTTTCAGAGGGCTTTGGTGTTTCTGGCTGTAAACAAACACAACGCATGCATGTTAAAAAACCATGTGAAACGGACCATGACGGATTTTGTCCTTGAAGACACACATCGCACAAGCGTCTACTGCACAGGCATGCAGCTGTATTGTGTTCCTCTGCTGGGCACATGGCTAACATTCAATCTATTTTCTTAAACAGATGAAGGGAAGAGTCTTAGCTCCTAACACTGTGAATCACAGCCTATACATAAAGATTATGCTTTTGTGAAGATGGTAAGCAATATTTCATAGTAGCCACAATCAGGTATTAGTGCTAAGTGTTGCATAAAAGGAAGAAATACTGTTAAATACAGTCTACTTCTTGATCACCCCATTTATCCAATTCAGTTACTCTCTGTGCTTTTTGTTTCTCAGTAGCTGTTTGCTTACAAGACGTTTGCTTTCAGTTCCTTCTGTACCAAAGAAACTGGGCTTCTACTTACTTACTGCTGGCTTTGCTTCCTTTTCTGTTCTTCTTTTCTGCTCTAATTAATTTTATTCAAAATCAAGCAAAGTGAAGGTGGTGAGGCAAATGTATTCTTCTGAGTGTTTTACAGAAAGCCTGATTTATCTTCAGTGTAAATTACTGTACTTAGTTAATATCATTGCTCTGCTATTTATTCCAAACCTTTGTTTTAGGCCTGCTTGACTGGTTGACTGGTCTCAGATGAACTCCCTTTTTAATTCTGTCCATCATTTCTTCAACAGCTTGTCTCTTCAGATCCGTAACTTCTTCACCTGTTCCAAAAATCAAAGAGCATATGAAATTCCAGATATGAACTACAGAGACACAGTACAAAGAAAAAAACATGTTAAACAGACAGCATCCTAAACAATTTGCCATATACACCTAATTACCATAATCATAAATTAGTCTTAAAGATGAGACAGTATTTACATATACAATATACTTAGTTATACTCCATGCAGTAGGCCTTCTGCCTGTATGTATGATGTATATTGCTCATGTACTATCCAAATCCATGCTTTTTCTGAGTTTTATTAAAATGGTGAATGATAAGCATTAAGTATACTGGCTTTTTTCCTCCCCATTTGTGGGCTCTTCACAGGCTCTTTCTTACAGGACCACTACCTTACTCTGAATTTTCCCCACCACAGAGGCATGTCACCTTATACCGCATACATCGATATGGCAGCAGAAACCAGTAACCTCATCTCTAGTTATCAGGAATTCGAGTTTCTGGATACCGTGCTATTAGCCATCGTTTCCCTCAGCTAAACTGTCACAGGCTCTTCAAGGATAAAATGCCAATCTACACACAATGAGGATCCAGCCCTGGCCTTCACAAATGCCAAACCACAGTGCCTGCAGAAGTTGGGTCAGAAGCAGAACCCAGATCCTGAAAAATTCAAAGCTCCTATAACTGCGAATTGCAAAAGCTCAGTGCTATAGGCTGAAGCATCAAGGACTGAAGAATACAGCCCCACTTCCACGGTATCTCTTCGCTGTGTGTCAGCAGAAATTTCCACAGCTTCATCGACACAAGACTGGCTGATGATGTGCCATGGCGAGGCCTTAGGCAGCACCTCACAGGACTACCAAACGTGTCTCGTATTTCACATGAGTGTAAGAATCTTGCTGGAATGCTAGGCTGAACTAAAACCACACATTTAAAGAACACTGCATCGAGTTTTAGGGCAAAACTTTAATATTATTAAAGGAAACGGTTGCTTTTTCAAGAGATTCAATATCAGGACTGCAAAATATTCATATGAAATGGGAAGTTGTGTGATAAACCTAAAAAATAGCTGTTAACTTATCAGTGTTCTAGATAATGTAACAAAAGACACTTAACGTGCCACACCAAAAAAGGAAAGAGTACTTAAAGCAAATACAGGGAGAAATATGGTTGGCACTATTCAAAGCTGCCACGTTGTACCTTACATAACAGGAATTTTAAATAGACTTTCTCTCTCTCACTTGTCAGGGTACTATTGATGATTCATAGAAATGCAGTTTCTGTATTGTAAGCCGATTTAATGTCAGGCTTTAATTTCACAAACAGGCTGTTTCAAATATAAAAGCTTAATTGGTGGTATGGGATAGAAACCACTCATTCTAAATCCTTAACAAGGGTCAAAACAAGCCTGAAGTTGGATATAATAACTAGATTAGGAAAGAACTTTCCCCCTTTTTTATTTTCATTTTCAGAACAGCTCAACTATTAAGAGAAAAAGCAGATTATATGTGATTGAAGAAAGGTCAGAACTGTTAAAGTTTGCTAATAAATAATGAAAAAAATGGGGTGTAGAGAACTTATAGTGAATTTCATAGTATTTCCTGCAATCACTGTTTGTAACAGTCTCAACAAAAAGGTGTAATCAAAACATCTAGGATGCTTCAAGTAAGGAAAACTTATAAATGAAGGCAACATAACTGAACTTTCACTGAAAGATAAGACTGACTCTTCATCAGAGATTTTGGTACAAGGTCACTTCCCTGATTATTTTACCCAGACCAACAACTTTATTTCTCTCAAACTGGAAACCTGTTCCCAAATGTTCCTCCTGGGACCTGCCCAAGTCACCCCATTCCTCAGTTCCTCACATGAAAAATGGGAAGAGTAATACTTCCTTTCCCCCACTTTCTGCCTGTTGGTCCCATCCAACAGTCCAGCCATGCTTACATACCATTACAGTCTGCTAATGGTGATTTTTTCTGTAACAGTTATATCCTATAATTTCAGCCAGGTTCCCTTCTGCAGCCCCATTCTTTGTTTAAAGTGGCAGCAAATGAGTTAAGCAATTCACTACAAACAAATTCCCTCTGTTTCAGAAGGAAGAGAGAAACAGCGAGAAAAACTTTGGGTTATTTAACTGGCAATGCTTGTCTAACTAGCTCTGAGTCTTCAGGCACTCATGATCATTCGTAAATCTGTACTTAACTCCTGTTCTCAACCTACTAAGTTTCCAGCTTCCATTAACAACAATAAAATGCAATTTCAGCTGTTACTTTTCATGCAGAGCCACCTTAGTGCAAGATTCTGTTTTGTTTTAGGTTTTCGGTATTATTAAAGGATTAGCATTACAGTCAACTCTGAGTGGTAATTTCACAAGGTATGAATTGAGGGATGAAAACTGAAGCATTTAACAAACCAGCTCTGCAGAGAAGGTCTGGACAGAAGGAATCACAAGCAAAAGCCATTTGGAAGTTGGAAACTTCCCCGCATTATCCTGTATATAACCTGCTCAATGATTGTTGTGTTTTTTCTTCTGCCTCTTCCAGATACCCTGTGGAAGTTCAAAGCCCTGGACACACCACAGCTGCAGCTCCATGCTGTAGTGTCTCTGGCATAGAGGCACAGGTTGAGCCTCTCAATGCTGCTACGGTGCAACTACTACGGGCAGTACCAAACTGCCAGGGTGAACACAACAAGCTGCACAGAGTCAGTGTAACAGCATGGGGCCTATGCGGAACCATCCTGTTCTCCCCGTCTCACCCAGCACATCACCATACCCAGCTGAGTGCTTATCTTGTCTGGTTTTTCTGTAGGCATATAATAAACATGACCACCCTCTCCCCATGGGAAAAAAAAAGAAAGATAAATTCTTCTGCCACAACAGTGAATGAAATCAGCTCAGTGACATATCTGATAAGCGTGAGAGCCATAAACAGGACAATTAGAACTTGTGTTCAGTTACAGCAGGTGCTAGGTCTTCCCTGAAGGTTTTTGATCTGCAGCCTCTAAGACTGTTCATACTAAAATCCATTTTGAAAAAATGAACTGGATGCTGATCACCGGCTCAGCTGTGGAGGCACAGATGGCTACGCAAATTTGCTTGCAATCTCAGTGAAGCTTGCAGTACCAAAGCTACAACGCCAAAGATACCACTTCCTATCCCAGAGCATGATACCTGGGCCACAATCACATTTCGGGACTGCAAGGTAGATGAATCTGCTGGGACAAGAGGATAGAGCCAGGCTCTTCTCTGTGACATCCAGTGATAGGACAAGGCGCAATGGGTTCAAGCTGGAACATAGGAGGTTCCACTTGAATATGAGAAAAAACTTCTTCACGGTGAGGGTGACAGAGCACTGGAACAGGCTGCCCAGAGAGGATGTGGAGTCTCCTTCTCTGGAGACATTCAAAGCCCGCCTGGCTGCGTTCCTGTGTGATCTGATCTAGGTGTCCTGCTCCGGCAGGGGGATTGGACTAGATGATCTTTCGAGGTCCCTTCCAATCTCTAACATTCTGTGATTCTGTGACATGGACAGCAGCAGTTAATGTTGACAATTATAAGCATTTGCATGACTAGCTTACCCACAGTTCATTTTCACTAGCTTTATCTGCAGTACCTAGTGGATAATCTGCATGACTTGAGAAAGGATGAGCCATACCTGACTCCTGCTGAGGAGGTTTCTCCTTCTTGCTCACATTGGTGTTGGAGTGGGATCTCTTGCGAATCATTGACATGAGAGACCTTTGGGGAAAATGAAACTGCAGATTGTCATTCTGTCCTGTATGACACACTGTTAGAATGAACTTGAACATGACACACAAACAGCTTGCTTATACCCGATTATACAGCTACTTACAAAAGCCTCATTTAACAGTTCTTGAATGCAGATGTATGTACTGAATTACCCCCAACAATGCCTCCCATCAAAGTGCACCAGAGAAATTTATTGCTTTTTATCAGACATTAGGCACAAATCAAAACACTCCAGATTTGAATATTAAAAGACAGTGGCTCATTGTGACACATGACAAATTGAAGCTACTCTGGCATAATAAAAGGAAAGGAGAGCTGTAGATATTGAAGTATTATTCTCCGGAGGACACTTAAATACGGTGATCAGTATCTCCTCACCAACTCCAAGTTTGTAATCTTCTTACACTGTCAAATAATTATCCCTTCACTGTAGTCAAAATGTGTAAGTCCAGGCAAGGAAATGATTCACCTTAAAAGCCAAGTAAAAGCTCTTATGCACGTCTGGTGTGTCACTGGGTCCCATCACTCCCTACCAAACATTGCTCCTTACGGAGTGGAGTGACCTCTCTGACATAAAAGGTCAAAACTCTGTCCCTGAAAAAAGCAGCATCCAGTGCCTAGGCTCTGAAACCACCTCTGCGCTTATAAACTTCATAGTGTCTAAAGGAAATACTCTGATTTAGCTACTACAGGGCTTAAAATGAATAGCTTTTTTATTCCAAATAATAAAGGGCACAAACTTAAAAAAACCAAAACCCCACAACACCCCCCCACAGTTAATTCATGCTACACATTAGTGAGAAAGAAGGAAACAAGCCAAATGAGTTAATGGATGTAAAAGGAGCAAAAGACCAAACACAGTTGTTCAGAAAATGTTTATTTTGGATTTCTAAAAACAAAGCAAGATGCACAAAGGGATGATTTTTTCCCAGTAATCATCTCTATTCATCTATTTATCACAGTAGTTAACAAGACTCCTGTATGTAATTTCTATTACAGAAGGATAGAAAGTGTCATGGAAGTCCATTTATTTTTAAAACCAAGCAGCCAACGTGAAGATTAGCTGAATTCCTAAAATTAAGTAAGCACACTTTAGGGCTTAGTTAATTAATTTGGGTCTAATGCCTGATCATATATGGGTCAGCCTCTTTTAAGGTCCTTTGCAAAAATCAGGCTTAATGTTGATAATTTCACCCCAGACTGCTTGATGACGGGGTGGTGATTTTCTAGTTTGTTTGGGTTTTTTTTTCTTTTTAACTTATGAAAGCAATTGTGGGAACTCAATGGAGTCTGCATTTTCATCACCAGTATCCGACAGGAAGGGACACATGGTAATCCAACATATCCTCTGGTTCAAAAGGGTTTTCTTAGCAGTAGATTCAGACAAGCCCTCTTCACAAGTCTATAATTACAGCTATCAGGTGAATAGAAAAATATCAGGTGAATAGAAAAAATATTCTCCTAAATTTAGAGGAGACAGGTATCCCTCCTCCTCCAAAGTCACAGTCTAGACAATTTGTTAGGCTTGACAAGGCAGACACTGTTCAGAATTGGCCAGGGTGCTAGTTTGTTGGCAGGTGGGGCAGAGAGCAAGTCCTGCTGGTAAAGAGCCCAAGACAGATGGAGAAGTCTTTTTTTTTGTTTTGTTTTGTTTTAAGACACTCTTCCTGCTTGGATGCAAGCTCATGTAACATATTCTGCTTCAGCAAAGCATTAATGTTGTGACCCTTGGTTTAAGTACTTACCGTATAGGGTTAGGAGGAGGGGGAGGAGGAAGAGGAGGAGGGGGTGGTGGAGGAGGAGGTGGTGCAGGATTTTCAGACTGCTGTATGCGTTTTTGAAGTTCATCAACTGTGCAAGAGCAAGAAAGGAAACTAGAGTGAGTTCTTGGTTTATCACATCTGTTCCAAAAACCAACACTGATGGTTTAAGAAAAAAAGCTACTAATTAACTAAAAAACAAACAAGAAGATTAAACCATGCAATTGCTACAAAGTCCTATTTTTGGCAACATTTCCTACCAAGAACCATGTCCTAGATGAACAGGATTCTCATTAAACCAGTTACCTCCAACCTGAGTCACCTTCAAAACTAAAATAACACTCTCCCTCATATAGGATTCTTCACATTAAATGACAGAGCAGGGAAAAGTTTATCACATTCCTGGTCTATTTGAGAATGAACTAACAAGAGACGAGAGAAATGAACAGTTTCAGCTTCCAGTTTTATCTGTGTCTTGCTGATGGACTTTGGTGGGGGTTCTCCTGACAAAAGTAGCCAAAACTGGCTGGTGGACAGAAAGGATTCTTCCTCTCCTGTTTTTGTGTTAGATCTACAATGAACACATTACTTTTCTGCACTTGAAATGTTGTCAAATGCAATTAACTGGAGAAGGGCAGAAACAGAGAAAAAAAGTCTTAGATTTATTTTAGTTACAAAAATTCTTAGCAATTGCTTCTGAATGCAGTAGGAATTATGGCAGAAGTACAGAATATGATTTCCAAATATGGTTGGATATGGTTCTTTGTTCTCATAATGATGGATTCAAACTAAAATTACAATCTTTAACATTTACTTTTAAATAGGGGGGGGAAAATCAACTGAGGGACTTTAAATTCCATGTATAATCTTTATGCTGATAAATTCCTTCTGAAGACAAACAAGCCTGGAAGGAAAGAATCTGCTGTGAAGGTTAGATCTTTTCCAAGGCAGCTGAGAAGAACTCATATGCCTGCCTAGGCATATTTTTAAGACTAACACAAAGCAGTTCTTCCAAGCAAGACTGCTAACAAGCTTAAAGATAATCCTGCTCTGAAGGATATGTTTCAGAAAAACGTGGCTATACGTGGAGTCTTCACTAAGGATAGGGAATTTGGCCTCTTCTGAGACAGGTATCATACTTAAAACTAGCACCTGCTTAGGCCTTGAGCTGAACAAGGACTGAAAGCAAAGGTACATCCAAATTCTTACCCAGCCATAGTCCCACGTTCCCTATAGTGAGGCCACACACACCAGAGGCCCTTTTTAAAAGCAATTTTAAATAAAGAGCACTAGGTCAGAAATTTCCTCATTCAATAGACTGGATGCTGCAGACAAGCCAGGCACCATCCTGACAGCAATAACTGTATGAACATCCGCACTGCAACCGTTGCTCCCTCCTAAGTATTCTGTGAATCTGTCCTGTCTGTATTCTTTAGCCATTAGTTTACATCTTAAGAGAAAGACACACACAGTAGCTAGCAAGACTGTTTCCTTCCTTGCAGCCACGTGACATGAAACAAAATATTTGACTACAAGTACATAGATTTAGATGCATAATTCTCATGGAGATCGGTCTTAAAAACCCACTGGATTTGTTTAGTTAACTCCCTTTGTAGGGCTCTGAAGGTAGTACTTACCTTTTTAATATCTGGGTTTTTTTTTAAGAAAAAGGAAAAAAAATATAAAAGAACCCCCTCCAGACCCTCTCACATCAGCAGAAACTGTTTTCTCACATGTCAATAAGAAGGGTTAAAACATGTCTTTATTTTCACTGGTGTCTTCTATTATAAGACTATTAAGTGGTTGGGTAGCTAGATAATTATGGGATGGTTTTGTACAATTCATACAATGCAGACTCCACAGTCTGCTAAATCACTGTGCATCTTTGGAGAAAAAAAAGGAAAAAAAAAAGAGAGCAGAGTTGTCCCACTTTATTTATTTCTAAAACTAGATAAGAGGACACATTTTGACTGAATACAAAAGATTGCGTCTTTCACACAGAAGCTCATTCACATGTATACATTAATCTGTAAGACTCTGGACAATCTAACAACAGTATTTTTAAACCTTACGGAAGTTTTACAAGGTTATTCTTTCACACACATTCTGGACACGACTGTTCCATGGTTGAAAGCAGTTGCTGAACTTTGCTTGTGAAGCACAGGTCTGGATCTCAGCTACACAAAAGCTGTTGCTTCTGGGGTGTCAGATGTAACATGTATGATTCTATCAGACATGTACCACTCACACCCCCCAAATTGTACCTCTAAAATGAGAGTTATTACACGATTTTACCTGAATGCTTTAGGTCTCTAGCTTTTTCTTCTGAGTTCTGGCACTTAAGCTCTAGTTCCTTTTTATCTTCTTCCAGAAGTTCTAGTTGCTGTTTAAGACGACTGATTTCCTTATGCAGTGCTTGATTCTCTAGCTGCTCTTCCAATTCTTTGATCTGCAGTTGGCAAACAATAGCATTCATTACAATAAAAAGTATTTTCTGTCCTTCCTTTTGACAAACAACCCGTTAGACACAGTTATTCCTGAAAACATGATGTAAGAGTATAGGAGTGAACTACAACTCCCAGAAAGAGGACAATTTTTGAATGAGAGCTGGACAGATTTTTCTCGGAGGTGTCAGAATTTTCTCTTCTGATCCTAGCTTGTTTTATCTCTTTTCTTTTAGAATACATCATTAGCTCCAAAGTACTTAAGCTATAAGATAGATGTTCCCTTTTTCTTTTTATAGAGTTTTTATCATATTAGAATTTAATTTCAGAACGTTTCTTCATTTGAAGCATGAGAACATTGACATCTTTGTTCTCTTACTGACTGCTCCCACTGACAGGTTGGTTATTTAAACTCCCTTGTCTCAACTCATGCAGATGCCAGTGGGTGAATTACAAAACATCAAGTTTAGAGGCAACATTCAGGGTCAGAGTGGCAATCCCTTCTCAGCTCCCTAAATTTTGCTCTAGACTTCAAGGAGCCAAAGATGTAGAGATTTTCCACAAACTGGCCATTATTCTTCCAAAATACTCATTCAGAAGCATTCCTCTATTACCAGAGTTTCAGGAACAGCTACGGGAAAACTTGTTTTCAGGCTTTCAAGTAAAGCAATGGTGATTTCTCCCAATTAGAGATCAATCTAGTCCAGTTTCAAATAATGTATTTGTTTAGATCCCAGCACTTTAGATCATATCAAACCACTTTGCAGGATTCACCTAACATTTCCCTGCTCTGGTATATCTGGCTCCTCCCCACGTGTTTCTTTAGCAAGCAACCAGACTACTAATGTGAACTGCCTACCTCTCACCTCCTGGTCTTTTTAGCTTACACCCCCAAAATACCCTTTATTTTACACAACATCCTAAATATTCTCCTGTCACCTTTTCGTCACTTGATGGAACTTCACGTAATGCTTGCTATTAAACCTGCACTTTACTGGCATCCAGAATAAATTACTTAACTAAATCAGAGCTTTCAGGCTGAAAAACTTCAAGTTTTATACTCATGTCTTACCAGTGAACCAGAAGAAGGGAATCACAATTTTCTCTGAAGTTTAGTTTTTAGGTTGTAAACTCTTCCGAGAGATAAGATCTCAAATAATTCTGAACATAACAAATACATGACACTCCTTAAATTCAGGAGGCTTTCAAATACTTCTGCATGAGATGAAAAGATGAAAAGTAAAGTAAGCCTGTTTTACCTTTTGTCGGTGCTGAAGCCTCTCTTCTTCTAACGTATGGGTTAGCTTAGCATTGTCATCCAAAGCCTTCAAAAGCTGTTGATCAGGAGCAGAATTTTGCAGAAGCAACTGACTTTGCCTTTTCATCTTGTTTTGTTCAATAAACATCTGCCAAAACAAAACCCACCCCCAAGAGAAACAATAGTTAAGCACAGTCTAATACTATCCTGGGAAATATGGCAATTGGAAAGAAAGTGAAAAAAATAACATTGTGCTAATATGGTAGATGTGGAGGGGAAGAAGGTGAGAAGGAAGGGGAAAGGAAGTTGGAGAGCAAAATTTGCAACAGCTAAACTCACACAGAAAGGAACCAGGTGTTTGCTGAGAGAACCACCTATTGCTACACCTCAATCACCCACGTTGGCAGCATTCAGAATTTAAACACATCTCTGAATTTTGTTTCCTGGAAATAGGAGTAATCTAGTCCCTATTCTCAGAGCTCTGGAGAGATTAAAAGAATTCTGGGTGGAGGGAAAAACATCTATGAATTCACAAGCTATTTCCTCAAATGCATCTTGACATGCCTTGGCATAAAGCCTACTTATTTGAGGGTTACCTGGATGTGTGAATGATGGAGTGTCTTTGGGAAATGAATTTCAGCCCATGTTTGTGTAATCAGTGTGTGCACTTGCTTTGGGAAAAGGCATTTCAGGGCAATTTCAGCCTTTTACTTCTGATGCTTGCATTTTTCCTCTTCCCTAGCTATATTTTTGATGTGGAGAATGGATACATTGGAGGGGGAGAATACTCAAATGGTCTAGAGACATGAATTAATAAAAATATCATGCATTTCTCTAGGCTAAGAGGTGCAGAACTGTCAGCACATGCAGTTTCCATAAAAGAGACCAGCTCCTTCCAGACTGTTTAGAAACTTAGAAAGAAAAGATTGCTTCTTGACAAAAAAATTCCTAGTGAATTTTTTCTGCATCTTGAAATCTCTTTCAGGTAGAGGGCTGCTCCCTAGGCAACAAAGGTTTCCACTCTTGACAAACTCAGCTGTGCCTGTTCTTACAGCAGAAATAGGGATTGGGTCACGCTGAGGTTTCAGATGAGTGTGCACAGGTCAGCAAAGCATGCCACTTAACGGCAGAAGAACAGAGAACAGCCTGAGAACGCAGACACTCCCTCAGACTGTAAAAACACTGTTGCATAGCACAGCAAAAGTAAGAAGATATTTTAAGAATAAAGTATTAGAAATAAAAAAGTTCCATGAGATCTTTTCAGGTTCCATGCTATTTATTCACAAACCAAAATTAGAGATACAACACGTGTTTTTTTCCCATCTGACGCTACTACAGTGCTACGTGATTTTTTTTTTTTATATAATTTAATTTTAAAGAAAGAGCAGCTGATGCAGATTTGTGGCAAGCATTCTACCCAGAGCTTTGCACAAACACTTCAACTGCATCTTCTTAGCAAGCAACTCTCTCTCTAGCTGTACATACAGACCGAGAAGCCTGCTGACAGAGCTGAACATTTAACTCACAACGCAGCCTGCTTGACCCTGTGTGCCAAGAAGAGTCAATTGATGCAGCCTTAATACTAATCAAACCTCCAATGAACACTTCATTGGGCAAAGCTGCGCCATGGGGGGAGGCAATAAATGATGGGAAGTATTCGATGAAGAGGAAACGATGAATGCAGGCTCTAGTACTACACTGTGTTATAAAACAAACAAAAAAAAATTTATGACAATACACAGGCCACTGCTAAAGAACTCCATATTGTCTCACAGCCTCCTGCTTTCCTGTTAAGTCATTCAAAAGTTATTTAACCCTCATAGAAACAACATCTCTCCAGAGGCCACCTTTAGCAAACATTGCAGCTTACCTACCGTGAACTTTCAAAGTGGGTTTTGGTTTTCTGGAATCTGAAAAATAGTTTGAGGTGATAATTCCAGACCTTTGTTCCCTGAGTTTCTGCCACTAAAACCAACAGAACAGAGTTGTTCCAGCCTGAGGGAGCAGAAAGCTGCCAAAACAAGAAGAAATCAAGTAGAGCAACTTGATTTCTTCAACTTGAGCAGATACTTCACCAAATGTAGAAAATTCATATTCACTTTGTTTCATGCTCCTCTGCAATAAAATGAAAAGAATACTCTTGAAGAACGAGGTGAAAACCTTTTCATTTAGAACTTTTCACATGAAGTCCTGCATTTTCAGTTAGCTTTATAAATTGCTTTCATGACATTGCAAATACATTCCCGCTTACAATATATGTGAAAGTGTCTTCTGCACCACAAAAAACTTTGTTGCTTATAACTTAATGCTGCAATCAGACACATGGGAATTAGCTTCTCATGGGGAATCCCATCCATTTCAGAAGTTACTTACACACATGTCTTCCAAATGGAAGAGACAAAACTAAAAAGGACAGTCATGGCAGATAAAGCAGAAAGAGAGCTGGTGATGAGCTGATTGCAAGTTTTTGAGAGGTTGCTCTGTTTGTTTGACATGGGACAAAAAAGACCCTTAGAAATGAATTTTAATTTAAAACAATCACTCACTGCATCAAGCAGGGCAGACATCTGACTGCCTGCACAACCCTGAATATTAATTAAAGTGACTGCTGAAAGGGCAAAACAGCTACTAACAGGATTATTTGGACTAGGTGGAATTTAACCAATTGATGGATTAATTCCGACTTTGCCACCTGCTAGACAATTATCTGCAGAGTATCCCGATCAATGCTAGAAACTTAAGTCAATGCTGGAGGAACCTACTGAAACCATGACTGCAACCAAAGGGAGATCACAAAGGACAGTAGTTTGCTTACATCTATCATTTTCATTTACAAAATCTCCAAGAGTTGTGCAAACCAGCCACCTATATTTCCCTCACGAGATTACAAACAGAAGTTTTGAAATGGAGGAAACCTGGCACTTGGTCACTTTCCATCAGCAGAGTTTGCAAAAGTATTGGGGAGGGGGAAAGAGAAGGGGGTGAAATCCTGAAAATAACAGAAGCTTTTCCCTTGACCTTAATGGGCTCACACCTCATTCCCAGACCCCTGCTCTAACCATTACTCTACAGAGCGTTCGCTGCAGCTGTTTTTTGTTTACACCAGAGCCGAAAAAGGAATTCTTCCTCATTAAAAAAGTTAGAAAGCAACTCTGTTAGTGTCAGGTCCCTGGGAACTTCGATCCTTGTTCAAGTAGCGTTCAGTGTCTAACTGGATGCTTTCCAACTAACTCCTCTCCCAGAAGCAAAATGAGGTCAAAGGAAATTATTTAATGTCCATATGTTGCTACATTTCCATCTATACATTGTTTGGGTACTCACTATGTGGAATAACTTTTTTGTCTTAGCTACAGTTTGAAGTGAGAAAAATGTCTCAATACAGCAGCACTGTTATAATAAGGTAGTCATTGGCTGCATAAAGTAAAATAAAAATCAGTGGCAAACACTACCCACTATGAACAGAACAACAAACGTATGCAGCAAAGCAGAGTCAAACTTTGGATGTCTCAAACGGAAAAGAGAAGATGATCAGTCAACTGAGCAGTTGGCCCCAATTCCAATCTTTCGCAACATTGCTCCATCCTCTCCATGTCCTAGTGAGAAATCCATAAATCATCCTTATGGAGAGGTAACCCACTCATTTACAGTTGTCACAGTTTACAGGAGCTGATGTCTTTTGCATGATGTGTACTCTGAAGCCTTATAGTCTTGTGTTCAGACCTGAAATAAGTCGCAGCAGAAGTGGGGTTAAGGTACTTGTATCTCACCGAAAGAGCAGGCTGTTTAAAGGATTTTATGTGATGCAGGGGACAGAGTGATCTTGTCTGACTGTGGCTTGACAGGGCCCTAAGTGTCTCTAAATTCCAGAGGTACTCAGTTTACAATATAAATCCAGGTGTGGATTTCATTTCAATGGCTAATCCAGAAAAAAATAAATATAGACACTCTTAATTTTGTAACTGCTTAACTGCACTCTATTATCAAGGACACCTGGGCTTGTGAGCCTCACTGCATATAAATATTACAGCAGGAAACAATGGCTAGTGGGTTTTTTTGATAGAAGAGTAGAGAGACATACGTATCTTATTAAAACACATTTAAGAAATACATCCATAGTTTGGACATTGACCTAGAAACACTCTCTCTACACTCAGGCTCAATGCTGCATATCAAGCAATGATATCAGCCTCATATGAGTTACCAATCTCTTGTGGTGTAGTGGGTCTATAGGTGTCTGAAGTGCTACTCAGGAAAAAAGCTACAACAAATAAATGGGTTTTGCAGTTAGGACACAGTCCAGAAAATTTACTTCGGCATATCCTTAATTTTAAGTCCATTACTCTGATCAGAAATTTTTTTATCTGGTGCTTATAGTCTTCCCCGCCTGGGAACTGCTTCTATGGTAAGCAACAGTTTCATGATATCAGACAGAAAGGGAAGATTACCCAAGCAGCTAATAGAAAGGTCATGGAGGGCACAGGACAAGACTCTCTTTAACAAAAACAAACAAACGAACAAACAAAGAAACCAAAAAAAACCCAATGTAAAGTATGGAAAACCAGAGCGATGCATTTCTGGCAATGTGCTCTGACCTTCATTTATTTCCTTCTTCAGAGGAGCCAAAGACTAAGCCTAGCTGGATTTTCAAACTGCCACAGAAAACTGAACAACGTGATCATGAAAAAGGACATACGCATAGCGATGGGCAGCCAGCAGTCACTCCTCTCTCTCTAGATGATTCATAATATTTTATGGTTAATAGTTTTCATTAAGACCTGCATCAATTTTAGACTAATAAAATACAGTTCCTTTAGTTATTTGGTTAATGGGCACACAAACTCTGACGGGACTATTTCAAAAGAGCTATAAGATGGAGCATTAATAAATTCTGTGTCTCAAAAGAAGAGGTCTAACATACTTAGAATGGGGGAACTGGAGTAAAGGAGTTAACCCTATTTCTTGTCCATCATTTGCTTCTCACCAGAGAAATGCTTGGAGGAGGCATTTTGAGTGTGAGAAAACTGAATCCCCATCAGCGTTGTGACTTCCTTAAAAACATAGTATTATTTATTTTACCAGCCTGTTCTGTACAAAAGTGTTTGTCAAACTACAGCACTCATTCTTCACTTATGAGGCATAACTGCTCAA